CACCCTCTCGCCCCTACCCGGCGTCGGCGCCGGCTCGTCGTCGCCCGACGCCGGGCCCCCCGCCCCGCCCAAGGAGGTGCCGCTGCGCCCTGCCGGCGCCGGCGCACAACAGCAACAACAACCACAACAACAACAACAACAACAACAGAGCCAGCCACAGCAGCCACAGCAGCAGCGCCAAGGCGGGCCTCCAGACCCGCACAGGATCGATGCCGACGATGCCGACGACGACAGGCTGTTCGACCGCGGGCCGCGTGTGCCCCCACCCGTCGCCCCCGCCCAGCTAGGGGCCGGCCGGGCCGGCGGCGTGGCGCAGAGCGTGAGCGTCGAGCAGGCGGCGAAGCCGAGCTTCTGGATCTCGGTTGGGGACCCGCACAAGGTCGGCGACATGACGGGCTCGCACATTGTTTACTCGGTGCGGACAAAGGTACGGAACCTCCCAGGCTGATAACTATATATATGCACGCTGCTGTAACGGAGCATCCAGCTAATGTTTGCCAATTCCTAGACAAGCTCCAAGGGTTACAGGCAGCCCGAGTTCGAGGTCAAGCGGCGGTATCGGGACTTTCTATGGCTTTACAACACTCTACACGGCAACAACCCTGGCGTGGTGGTGCCGCCACCGCCCGAGAAGCAGGCGGTGGGCCGGTTCGAGAGCAACTTTGTTGAGTCGCGGCGGCAGGCGCTCGAGAAGATGCTCAACAAGACGGCGGCGCACCCGACGCTGCAGAACGACCCGGACCTCAAGCTCTTTCTCGAGTCCGAATCCTTTAATGTTGATATCAAACACAAGGAACGCAGGGAACCGAACTTGGGCACCGAGAGCAAGGGAATGCTGAGCAGCCTGGGTATCGGCACGAGCAGCAACAAGTTCGTTGAGCAGGATGATGTAAGTCTAGTCCCGCTTTCTCGACCCCTTGGACTGTTAACTAAGACAGCTCGACGCAGTGGTTTCACGACCGTCGTGTCTATCTTGATGCGCTGGAGAATCAACTCAAGGCACTGCTCAAGGCCATAGATACCATGGTGGGGCAGCGCAAGGCCATGGCGGAGGCAGCGGGCGACTTCTCGGCATCTCTCCACGCCCTCTCGACCGTCGAGCTCTCGCCGGCACTGTCGGGCCCGCTGGACGCGCTCTCGGAGCTGCAGACGACGATCCGGGACGTTTACGACCGGCAGGCGCAGCAGGACGTGCTGACCTTTGGCATCGTCATCGAGGAGTACCTGCGCCTGATCGGCAGCGTCAAGCAGGCATTTTCTCAGCGCCAAAAGGCGTTTTACGCCTGGCACACGGCCGACACGGAGCTCACCAAGCGCCGGTCGGCGCAGGACAAGCTCCTGCGCCAGGGCCGCTCCCAGCAGGACCGGCTCAACCAGGTCGGTGCCGAGGTCGCCGACGCGGAGCGAAAGGTGCACCAGGCCAGGCTCCTGTTCGAGGACATGGGCCGCCTCATGCGCAGCGAGCTGGACCGCTTCGAGCGCGAGAAGGTTGAGGACTTCAAGAGCGGCGTCGAGACGTTCCTGGAGAGCGCTGTCGAGGCTCAGAAGGAGGTGCGTTTCTACCTATTCCGGGGCGCGACTTTGTTGTCACCCCTTAAAAAAAATCACATTATCTCTTTACTGACCTGTCATCATCCTGCCGCAGTTAATCGAGAAGTGGGAGACGTTCCTGATGCAGCTAGACGCGGACGACGACGACACTGTGTTTTACAAGCCTCCCGTGATACAGGCCCCGGGGGACAACGGCAACAAGCCAGCGGGCGACACTGCCGTGGATAGGGCCCGGGCGAGGATCGACGAGGATTCAGACTAGGGAGTTACGCGGCCCATCGTCGCCGCTCTGGCATCCCGCTTTGGAGTATCTGGCGGGGCTGGTAGCCATAGGGGTTAGCATTTATCGAGTCTCTGGGCTTCGGGGGTGCTCATATCATTACATCAAGAGACAGGATAGGGTGATGGGGATATGAGTGACGGCGGCTGTGAGAGATGACTAAAAAATCAAGGCGAAAGCGGTGCGTCTGATACCCTCCAAGATTTTCTGAGCGCCGCTGTTTGGGAATGTTTGTTTTATTGAGGGCCTGTTCTGCAGCTCCCATTTAATAGTGAACCCGTCTTTGCGCAGCCAGCACACACACTCCCATGAGACCACTTAACAGTATGACATTCTTCATCCGTGAATGAGATGGAAAAAGACATCATGAGCTGGCACGCATTGCTTCAATTGAGTATGCTACGGGCCGGCATTTGGTCGACTTTGGAGGGTTTCTTGTTCATACGGTATCTTGGTACTACCGCAAAAAATCAGGGCCTTTCATTTCTTGCCCTTCTTCGCATTCTTCCTCTCGGCCTTGGCCGTCTCCTTCGCGTTCATGCCGCTCTGGCCTTCGATGCCGGCGGCCGAGGCGTAGCCCTGGATCAGGGCCGTGAGGTCGAGCTCCTCCTGCGCGTCGAGCTCCTTCTGCGCCTTTTCCCGCTCCTCCGCGTTCATGCTGTCGTCGGGCGGGGCCGCGGCGGCGTCCCAGCCCCTGCCGTAGCGGTCCCTGAAGGCGGCGAGCTTGCCGGCCTCGTCCACCTCGACGTTGCGCAGGGACCGGTCCGACGGCTGCCAGCGCGCGTGGTTGCGCGTGTCCTTGACCGACCTGTAGGTCCCGTGCGGGCTCGTCGTGCGCGCCGTGTAGGTGCTCCCGTCCGACAGCTGCACGAGCTGCGTGAAGGTGTAGGGGCGCTGCGGGCGCCGGATCAGCGTCGCGTGCCGGACCTGGGAGGCGGCGGCGGCGGCAGCGGTGGCGGCGGTGCTGGCGAGGGATGGCCGCCGTGGTGCGCTGAATGTTGCGGAGAGGAGGGGGTGTAGTGTGGGGGCGCGCAAGGCGCTGCCGCAGCCCAGGCAGGAGGGGGCCCTGCCGGGGAGGAGGGCTGATGGGAGCTTGGCCATGGCGTTGGTTGTGCGGAGGAGGTTGTGGAGGTGGTGGTTGTTGGTCCGGCTGTCGTGGGTGGAGGGCTGCTCGGGATCGGTCGGTGGTCTCGGCTCGGAGGCGCTACCGTAATCGCATGGTGGTTTTCGGGGTATCTTTATTATTCAGGGCGAGGTCCGCCCGCCATTGGAAATTTTGATGTCGCGGGAGTGTAAGTAATTGAAGACGGCATGTTCCCCATTGTGGGTCTTGTCGTTCATGCACGTCCAATAAGACGACGCAATTTCTTCAATCCCTGCCGTATCGATAAAGCTCGCAGCGGTCCGCCCCACTTTTAAGCTTCTTCCCGCCATGAAAGACGGAACAGGATGATGATCTCTTCGCATGTCCAAGTTGCGCCCTCTGCCTATTCGGGTTCCTACTGAATGCAAAGGTTTCTAGAGGGCGACGCTCAACCCCCCATGGGTTTGATACCCTGAGATGAGGAACTGCCGCCTGCTTGGCTTCGTTGCCCAGGGCGCAATACGGCAGCACCATGCCCTGCAGCCCCTCCGTCATGTGAGCCTCGACCCTGCCACCGTTGCTTCGCCCGCCTCGTCCCGAGCTGGTAAGAACTACATCTTTCGTATTCCTTGACTTGGAACAAGACTAACCTCCCGCCCACCGCCCCAGAGCCCAGGAGAGCCTACTCGGACCAGTGGCGCGCACCGCCGCTCCCGTCCGCCCCGGGCGTCGCGGACCGCGTGCGCTCCGTGCTCCGCCGGATGCCGCAGTCAGTGGTGGTCGTGACCGTCGCGGCCCCGCCGTCCGCAACACAACAACAACAACGCCAAGCAGCGGCCGCCGACCAACACCACTGGCACCACCACCAGCACGCCGTCGGCATGACCGTGTCGTCGTTTGCGTCGCTGGACCTGGACGGCGACGTGGCCGCCGTCGCCTTCAACGTGCGCCGGCCCAGCAGGACCCTCGACGCCATCGAGCGCGGCGCCGGCGTCTTCAACGTCCACGTGCTCGCCGGCAACGACGCCGGCGCCCGCATCGCCCGCCACTTTACCCAGCCCAACGACGCCGATGGTGGCGGCAGCGGCGGCAGCAGCAGCAGCAGTAGCAGCGGTAGCGGTGGCGGTGGCGCAAGTAGGGACGAGAGCTGGCCGATGCTGAGGAGGAAGCCCCGCGGCCTGTTTGATGACCTCGAGCGCAGGGCGGGGTGTGGCGTCGTCGCTGCCGACGCTGGTCTCGACGCCGCCACGGCGCCCCCGGTGCTGGAGGGCCCCGGCGTGCTGTACGTGCTGACGTGCGCGGTCCCGTCGTCGCCGGCGCGGGGGGCCATCACCGTCATGAGCCACGCCATCGTCGTGGCGGGCGTGACGGGCGTGTCGGTCGGCGAGGTGGCCGCCCTCGAGGAGCGAGAGGAAGAGGCCGCCACGCGGGGGAGCGGCGAAGCGCAGAGGACGCTCGGCCTGAGCTACGGAGACAGGAAATACAGAGCGCCGGGAGGTAGCCTGCTCGGCGCTGCCGCCAGGGATGGGGCGCGCGAGTAGGAGCTCCATGGGCAGCCGAGAGGGAGAAAATCGCGAGCTCCGTCGGCATGCCCCCCATGGCATGAATGTAACATATTGTACGACATATGACGTTAGATTCGGATGGGGTCGTGTCTGCCCAAGCTCGGATAGAGAATAGGCGGGAAGGAACGGGCGGCTGCCGCTAATCGTTATAGATCACACACGACGCTTGTCTTGTATTGGAGCTATACCTGGGGAAAGTGGACAATGCAAGGCCGTCTAGCTTCTCGTGGTCTCCGTGCTCTCGGCAAAAGCCTCATCGCCGATCTGTAGTTCGTTGCGTGGTATATCTGGGGTGCTTGCAGGATACCAGTGTTGTGACTCCCATAAATCCGTATCGGCTCGTTACAGGTAGCCATGCACGTCAAATGCCCTTGAAAATGGAACAAAGACAGCGAGACGGGGGAAATGATACCGCGTGCTTGAAATCTCTGACAGCGATGGTTATCACGGGTTGTAAAGGTGCAAGACAAGTCATGAGGGATAGAGTCTAGCCCACCAAACCCACACGTTCTAACTTGATCCGTGTGACTCCGAGCCTCGCTCTTTCCAGGCCAGGTTTTTGCCAATGTATGCAAGAAGGAAGGGGGGAGTGCGAGAGCAGAGGGAAAGGAAGGAGAGTCAAGGGTTGACACTGGGATGCGTCATTACCTGGGCAGTAGACAGCCCTACTTTCGGGCATGGAAGTCACCAAGAGGGCTCTCATGCATTTCCATCGCGGTTCCCCGGCCTCAGGTTTACACTGCCAAGGCTTCCTGTTCGCCTTGAGTTGTTTTTCTCCCTCCCGTCTTTTTGCCTCCCGCTTCCACATCATCCACCGTCCCATATTCTCGCCCATTCTTCTTCGAAGCATCACATTCTCATTCAAGACACTTGCGCCGTATCCACAGAAAGTTAAGCATGCATTTCTCAAAGCCTCTCGCCGCCTGCGTCGCCGCCGCGTGCGCCCTGGCCCGTCCACACGACAGCCAGGACGGCGCAGGCACCACGACCGCTGCCGCGACCAGCATTACCAACTCCAGCCCGCTCGAGATCATCACGGCGACCCGTACGGCCCCGGCGCCGCCCGACGTCGGCTACCCGCCCCAGGAAGCGGCCATGCCGGCCGCCGGCCCTGCTGCGGCCATGGGAGCCAGGGGCTCCTGGTGGCCCATCTACACGGTGCCGGTCGCGCCCGGCGCTAGCCTCCTTGCTAACGGGCGGTACAAGGTCGACGACGGCTGGGTGAAGGAGCACAAGATCCTGGAGGTATGGCGCCTACAGCTGTTAATGTGGTGGACTCCAAACAAAACAAGGTTGCTGACTGCAATGCCTCGAGCGGGCACGCACAACAATAGCTCGCACTTGGCGGCGAAAACAACGAGGGAGATCATACCTACCTCACATTCAAGTGTCAATACCAGTGCCAGATGACCGCTGGATGCGAATCCTTTTTCCTGAGCTCAAGTATGAAGGGAGCGCTTCCCCCATCCATTTACTCGTCCTACCTTTACCCATACCCGCCCGAACTCAGCCATGCATGATGTGAGGGGCGAGATTCAAACGGCTGACCACTCTTGCAAGGCGTGAGCGAACTGAGGCGGGAGGGAAACAAGATCATCCCCGAGTCGACCTGCCAGGTCTACAACGCTCGGTAAGCGCAAGCCCAGTCTTAGAGAACTTGACCTTTCTACTGCCTCCTTGACTAAAGCGCTGACCCCTGACGACCGTTTTGCTGCCTAGGCTGGAGCCCAGCCTGTACGTCTCTGCAGAGCAGAAGGCGATTGGGGGCTACAATTGGAAGAAATAACTAGGGACCTACCTACACCACATGGGTATCAAGCGGCTCCTCCTGAGAGCCGACAATCAGACCCATCCCACTGTGAGGCATGGCTTGGCATATAGAATGGACGGTTAGACTGCTAATGGCGTGTATAAGGAGAGAGAACTTTGGACAACAACGGATTAGAGGCCTGGGGTGTATAAGGAGCGGGCCGTAATGGTAATGTGTGTTAGACAAACGACTCAACATTGCCATGCAATCCTCCAGGTTCAACTAATATATCGCACTAAAAGCCATGTTTAACCACAGGGGAACCTCGGGTCATCATTATATCAACAATAAGTGCTGACTAATCAATCCGTCTGTTCTCACAACCTCCAACGCCCGAAACCCGACTTCGTGCGTTTGATCTTTGGGACATGGATGGAGGGCGGAAATGCACCGCAAGTCATGTTGCGGGGTCGAGATGGAGGGTGCATGCGCACCTCCCACGTCACCCCTCTTGGCATTTGTAATCGTATCCAGGGTATTTAACGCGCCTTGAAGGCATCTCTTGGGGCCTCTAGGCTTGCAGCTCAACTCCACGCATCTTTGCTGTTGATGACCGCCAGACTAAAGCAACTAAGCTCGCACCTGACAAGACACGCCAAAATGGGTATCAAGACCGATTTCCACCTCTACACAACCGGCACGCCTAATGGCATCAAGGTCTCTATGCTGCTCGAGGAGCTTGGCCTCGAGTACAAGGTAAGGACTGCAGGCTGAGTCGAGGAAGGGAGATCCAAGAACGACCTGCCCCGTGAGAGATGCGCGCTGACGCCACTGGACAGGTGACCGCCATCGATATCAGCAAGGACACGCAGAAGGAGCCGTGGTTTTTGGAGATCAACCCCAACGGCCGCATCCCGGCCGCTACCGACACTCTGCCTGATGGCTCGACCATCAACCTGTTCGAGTCTGGCTCTATCATGCAGTACCTGGTGGACCGCTACGACCCCGAGCACAAGGTGTCGTACCCGCATGGCTCCAAGGAGTATTATGAGGTTAACAACTGGGTGAGTTGGTAGCCACGATGCCTCTCTCGTAGACACCATCTCGGTGGCTGACTTGGAGGATGCTCCACCTTCCACAGCTCTTCTGGCAAATGGCAGGCCTGGGTCCCATGCAGGGACAGGCAAATCACTTCTCCCGTAAGACCCTCCCATCTCCTTCTTCCTGCTTGATGGTCGTCGCTTCAAGGTCGGAGTAGTGCTGCCAAGGACCAAAGCTAATTGTGACCGTCTCCCGCACAGGCTACGCGCCAGAGAAGATCCAGTATGGTATCGATAGGTACCGCAACGAGACCCGCCGTCTCTACCGCGTGATGGACACCCAACTCGGCAAGAACAAGACCGGGTTCCTGGTCGGCGACAGGCTGACGATTGCCGATCTTTCGTGCTGGGGGTGGATTGCGGCTCACGGTTTGTCGCCCTTTTAGTTTGCCCGTTTTATCTTGCTTTTATCATCTGCTGACCGGCATCCACACACAGCCTGGGCCGGCATCGACCTTGCGCCGCTCCCTCACCTGAACGCCTGGCTCGAGAGCCTGGTCCTGCGGCCGGGCGTGGAGAAGGGCCGCCATGTGCCAAGCAAGCACACGGCTTTGGAACTGAGGAAACTGACCGAGGAGGAGCTGGATGCTAAGGCTTCTGCGTCTCGCGCCTGGGTCCAGAAGGGGATGGCGGAAGATGCCAAGAAGTAGGTAGACTTTTTGAGAACGGGGGATTTTTGTAGGGGATGGGCAATAAGTTCCTGTCAGGCTTCCAAACCGCATCATTGATCTCCAGAACACCATGACCCCTGTGCCCCTCGATGGGCATCCACGCCCTTCACAAAAAACGTGGCTGTGCCTTCGAGGAATAGTAACGGGAAGAGATACGAAAATAGAAAGAGAAATACGAATAGCAATAGGAATAACGATAAAAAAAAAATAGGAATGCTCACGGCACTAACAATTCTACTCGATCTTTGGGACCTCCTGGAAGACTGCTGTCTTTTTTGTGGTGTGTGTGGCATCCTTGTGCAGCCCGCCCCACCGCCCCACATGTAAACTGTGGGGAAGGACTCGCGGCGCGTGGCGTTGGAAAAAAAAAGGTTACATAATCTGAGATGGATGCCCGAGAAAGGTAATAAGCGAAGAAACCACAAGGCGACGTCGCCAGGCAGGCAATTTCATCTCCTTCACCAACCTCTCGTGGTGCTATTTCGCATCAGCAACTTCATCACTTTCCCCTCAACATCCCCGTCGTATTGTGCGCAGGAGTCGCGCGACCGACAAGATGTCTTGGAGAAACCAGGGAATTACGGGTTCCAACAACATCCCGCTGGGCAAGACGCGCCGCTTTGGTGGCGATTCCGAGCCCGAGGCACCCCCTAGCAACTATGCGCCGCCATCCTCGTACGCGCCGCCCTCGGTCGCCTCGAGCGGTCCCGATCGCGAGTTGAAGCGCGGTCGGAGCCCTGAGCCCAGTAAGTTTCTAGTCCCACCCGATATGCCATGCAAGGCGAGGAAGCGGACAGAAGAGCTCACAAGTGGTGCAGGAGCCGAGTCCAGCGGCCCGAAGCAGCGGAAGAAGCGAAACCGATGGGGCGAAGCGACCGAGAACAAGGCCGCGGGCCTCATGAATTTGCCCACCGCCATTCTAGCCAACATGACCAACGAGCAGCTCGAGGCCTACACGGTGCATCTTAGAATCGAGGAGATCACGCAGAAGCTCAAGATTGATGATGTTGTGCCAGCCGACGGCAACCGGTCGCCCTCGCCACCGCCTCAGTACGACAACCACGGCCGGCGTGTCAACACGCGCGAATTCCGCTACCGCAAGAAGCTGGAGGATGAGCGCCACAAGCTCATCGAGAAGGCCATCAAGACCATCCCTAACTACCATCCGCCACAGGACTACCGGCGCCCCACAAAGACCCAGGAGAAGGTCTATGTGCCGGTGAATGACTACCCGGAGATCAACTTCAGTGAGATTACTAACCTCCCGACCCTTCTAACCGTGCTCCTAACCTCCCCTGTCTGCCCCCCATGTGTCTCGGCGTGCTTCCAAAGGGCGGCGTTGTTTGTGTCCGCGCTTGCATGCCATGCCCTCGCAAGGACGCGTCTGGAAGAAATGCCGACTCGAAGCCTACAGGCTACACTTAACTTGACTCACAAAAATGACTTGAACACATACTAACACCAGCTCTACTTGCTCTCAAGTTGGCTTGCTTATCGGACCCCGTGGAAACACCCTGAAGAAGATGGAGTCCGAGTCTGGCGCCAAAATCGCGATCCGTGGCAAGGGCTCCGTCAAGGAGGGCAAGGGGCGATCCGATGCTGCTCACACTAGCAACCAGGAAGAAGATCTTCACTGCCTCATCATGGCTGACACAGAGGAGAAGGTCAACAAGGCCAAAAAGCTGATCCATAATGTCATTGAAACTGTGAGCACCATCTCGTTTATTCACTCCTTGTTGCTATATCTTTTGGTGACTTTCTACTAACAACTCTCCCCTTTTCTCCAGGCCGCCTCCATCCCAGAGGGCCAGAATGAGCTCAAGCGTAACCAGCTTCGTGAGCTCGCGGCCCTGAACGGTACTCTCCGAGACGACGAGAACCAGGCGTGCCAGAACTGCGGCCAGATTGGGCATCGCAAATGGGAGTGTCCCGAGAAGCAGAATTACACTGCCAACATCATCTGCCGCGTCTGTGGAAATGCTGGACACATGGCCAGGGATTGTCCTGACCGACAGAGGGGTGCTAGCTGGCGCAACGATGCCCCCGCCTTCCGTTCCGCTGGTCGTCTTGGTGCTGGTAGCGGTGGTGGTGGTGAGGTCGTCGACAAGGAGTACGAGGTAAGGAAACTCGAACCATGCAACCTGGCTTCCCAAGAACAAATAAGGACATGATCTAACTCTGCAAACCAACTACAGGCGCTCATGGCGGAACTCAATGGTGGAGCGCCGCCTGCTCGTATTGAAGCAGGACCTGGCGGCGGCGAGAGCAGTGGTGGCGGGGGCGGGGGCGGGGGCAACAACACGCCCGGCGGCGAGTCCGCGCGCCCCTGGCAGCGTGGTCCAAGTGGAGGAGCAGCCCCTTGGCGGCAGCGTCACCAGGATCGTGATAACGAGGACGGCAATGGCGGCGGCTCCGGCGGGCCAGCGCCTTGGGCTCGTGACCGCCAGAGCCGTGCCAGCGACCGTGACCAGAACGAAGGCGAGCCGTGGCGCAACCGTGACCGGGACCGAGACCGGGACCGGGACCGGGACCAAGGCCGAGACCGAGGCTACCAGAATGGCAACGGCGACGGTGGCTTCTCTGCCCCACCCCCCTCGGGGCCCTCGGCTCCCTGGAACCAGCCATCGTCTGGTGCACCTGGCTATGGAGGATATCCTGGATATCCGGGCTATGGCGCGCCGCCCGGCATGGGAGTTCCTGGCATGCCCGCGCCCCCTCCTGGCCTCCCTGGCGCCCCTCCAGGTCTTCCTGGTGCGCCTCCGGGACTGCCGCCGCCGCCGTCTGACTTTAACGTTAGCGCTTTGATTGCGCAGTACTCTGGCGGAGCTCCGCCGCCGCCTCCGCCTCCGGCCGGCGATGCCCCTCCTCCGCCACCGAGCGATCAGCCGCCGCCGCCTCCACCCCCGGGAGCCTAGAGCTTTCTCGAATCGGTGCCAATCACGCTCCGCCATTGGACTAACACCACCATAAGATGGGCCTGACTGACACTCCCCGACAACACTCTAACTGACCTCACTCACCTACGTATCCTAGTGGTCTCTGGAGCGCTGACTATTTGTTCCCCCTGTTTCTTTTTAATGCCTTGGTCTTCACTCTCTTTTTGGCTACGGCTCGCACCTTGCTATTCGTTCAGAGCTCCCGCTTTTATTCTCTTTGCGTCGTTGTTGGGTTTCTGAAAGTCAACGGACTCGGAATTACCAACCTCCCAAAAACGAGGAAGCGAAGAGGCGGTATTTTACGACAAGCAACGTACCGCGAATTTCTGAGGCGGCAACACGATCGAACGATGCTTAACGGGCGCCGCGAGTCTGTATCGCTACATCAGTGTCCAGGACATGGCAGTCCAACATCGACTCGTGCTTCTTAGCCCTCTCGCTCGAAGTTACCAGGCAGGTCTTGAATTGCTAACAATTGTATAACATGGTTCCCGAGGAGGATTCAGTATTCTTTTTTTCCTGCGCCCATAATAACTAGGTAGAAGCAAAACACATGGTTGTGTTGAAATAAGCGGCCGTCATGGTTTTCATCCGTATAACTGATGCTTTTCGAGACCGGAGAGACTGGAGGTGCGTGACAACCAGTTATGTTGATTTGGTGACCGCGTGAAGAGATAGTCGGCCCCGATCTTAGTCCTGTTCCTCCCACTACTCCTGCTGGTACCACATTGTCTGGCATTGACTCCAATAGCTGCGCACATCCCCAGCATGACGTAGATGGGCTCGAAGCGTGAGATGGACTTCTCGTGGCTCGATTATTACCTGCATAGATCAGGAGCAACGACACAGACCAAGCTGGCCCCGAGATCAACAGGCAGGCCGTCATTTTCCACAGAATCCCCCCGTCCTCCTTCACCCAATGACCTGCCCTGGACCACTTCCACACGCCGATGAGCTCGCACGAATAAAAAGGAACCAATGTAACTTGGGCCTTCCACATGCCTTCCACAAGGTCACTCGCGAGCTCCGGCGGCATCATTTTATGGTCGAACGGCTTGACAATGTTGAAGATGTCAGGGGTACAAGCACGTCCCTCAACGCACAAGCAACTGGAGCTCTGCTAGCCCCCAACAACTGGCTGATCATGGCCTCCTTGGTGCAAAATCTGATAGACACATGCCACAGTCCCGCCCCCAAATCACCCCAGCACAAGCGCGGTGGTCATTCTTGAACCAGAGTTCGGCGCGTGCTTCGGGACCGTAATGATCTTGACCAGCTTCTTATTCCCGGTGGCCTTGCTGTGGTTGGTTGGTTACGACACCTTAGTCGCGGCATTGTCGCTGCCGAGGAACCTATCGAACCAGTTGGCCTCCCTCGACCTTTTATCAGATGCAAACAACCATTGATCGCGGCACTGCAACGAATCCTCCTTCTTTTTCTCCCACACTCCCTTTGACGCGACTTTGACATGGACCTTCAGGTCCGATTAAGGGACTGTTTGCCCCTTATGATCGAGCACGCAGTCGCGCAGATGGGCTTCTGCAAAGCGGTGCACCTGCGTCGTGTGAGCAGTGAGTCCTCTTAGATTTTTCTTTTTCCAAGCACTACGGCATTTTGTTGCTGACCACCAAATGAATGGTAAAAAAATATTCTTGGGCGGTTGAAACGACGATAGTGACAATTTGATCAGGGTTGGCGGTGTGGTCACCTAAAGCACGCTGCGACTAGGCGCTAATCGCTTGCCACCGCAGCGGCTTCATCATTGGCAACCGAGCTAAAGTTTTAGCCTTTAGGGGGAACATTTCGACCCGACCACCAGAAATCCACAAATTCCATGTCCAGATCGCCTCTTCTCCTTGCCAGCGCCCGCAAAGCCGTGACCGCCCAAGCACTACTGCCACGAAACAACCGTAGCCAGCCGAGGCGAGCCATGCACGAAGCAAAAGTCCAGCCCGCGGCCCCTGGGCGGCCGGCGTCGCTGTTCCTGCCGTCGTCGACGGCCCCACCGCCGCCATCACCGTCACGGCTGCGGCGGCGGCGGCAGCGGCGCGGGCTCGTCTTCTTCATACCCGGCAACCCGGGCCTGATCGGCTACTACGTCCCGTTCCTGTCGCACCTCCGGCGGCTCCTGGACGAGGCCGAGCGGCGGGACAACGACGGCGGCGGCGGCGGCGGCGGCGGCGGCGAGCAGCAGGACAGGATGGCGCTCGACGTCTTCGGCACCAGCTTGGCCGGGTTCGACGACGCGGACCACGCGCCGCCGTTCGCGCTGCCGGCGAGCCCGCCGCGCGACGTCGAGCACCAGGTGCGCTTCGTCGCCGACCTGGTCGCGGAGCGGGACGCCTTGTTTTCGTCGTCATCGGTTTCGGCAGCAGTCGGGGGAGAAGAAGGAGGTGGGTACGACGCCATCATCCTCATGGGTCACTCGCTCGGCACGTACCTGGCCTGCGAGGTGCTGCACCGCGACCTCGTCGCCCGGCGGAAGGGCGACCAGCAGCAGCAGCAACACCAGCAGCAGAGCAGGCCCCGGCTGCGCGCCGGCGTGCTTCTCATGCCCACGATAACGCACATGGCGCGGTCACCGTCGGGCCGGCGGCTGGACGCGGTGCGGCAATCAAAAACGCTGGACCGCTGGGCGCACGTGGCGGCCGCCGTCGTGCTGGCGCCCTGGCCGCGCTGGCTGCTCGCGCTGCTGCTGCGCCGGGCCTGGGGCATGGCGCCGCACGGGGCCGCGACCACGGCCGCCTGGCTCAAGAGCAGGGACGGCGTGTGGCAGGCGCTGCACATGGGAAAGGACGAGATGGTGGTCATCGCCGAGGACCGCTGGGCCGCCGACAGGTTCTGGGGAGGAGGGGTGGAGGGGGCGGTCGTGGGGACGGTGAAGGAAGGGGAGGAGGAGGAAGGGAAAAGGGACGGAGTGCGGCCGCCGAGGTTCTACATGTTTTACGGCAAGGACGACCACTGGATCTCGGACGAGATCAGGGACGAGTTCATCGCTGCCAGGCGCGGGCAGAAGGGGGTCGCCGAGGGCGAGTGCGCAACCATTGTGCTTGATGAGAGCGGCGTGATCCCGCACGACTTTTGCATAAACTACAGCGAGCCCGTGGCCGAAAAGGTTATCGTTTGGCTTGACGAGCTCGCAGAGCAGCTGTGAGGCCTGCAGCTTTTGTTTTGTTGACTTTTCTTATTCTCGGTCATACATTCGGCCCATACATTGTTCAAGGATAGAGATAGAATTAGAGCCAAAAACTGTCCAGCCAAACAAGTATAGAATGAGGTCGCTGGCTTATACGATGAGATGCAAAGCTTTTCATGTTCGACTTTTCAACGCAAAGTCAACGAGACCTTATGTGCTACCGGCTAAAGTGATAAAATGGGTAAACAAGAACGCATAAAAAACAAACACGGTAATGCACGCTATCAATGATATAAAAGTCCAGCCAGTAAAACAAAAATGAAACGAGGATAGAAATAAAGCCATACTAACCAGACAGGAGCCTTAAAAGCCCGTGTGGTCCCACCAGCCATTGCTCGGCACCTCCTTAGGTCTCCTGTTGATGAGGGCAAGGTCGTGCGCCGACAGGCCGCGGGCGTCCAGGTCCCTACGCGACGCCCGGCGGGCCGCCGCCTCCCAGCGCCTGGTGCCGGCCTTGGCCTCGGGCAGCCTGCGGTCCGCGTAGGCGCGGGAGCCCGGGCCGTCGTAGGCCGGGTGCTTGGCCCTGACCTTGTCGCGGTCCAGCCGGGGCGGCTCCGTGCCAAGAGTGCCGTCGCTTCCCGTGCTCGAGCCCTCGACGCACTTCCCGCCCCGGAAGGCGACGTCGGCCGCCACCTTCCAGGCCTCGGCGGGCTTGCGCGTCATGTCGTACGTGTAGAAGCGGCGGCAGTGCGAGGCCTCGTAGACGAACTGCTGCGGCACCTGCGCGTCGGCGTCGCGGTACGCGTTGCGGAAGTTGAACTGCAGGCTCGCCAGCAGCGGCATCAGCGGCAGGTCGCGGTCGGTGCGGGGGAGGCCCTCGGGCCGCCCGGCGGCGCCCGGGGCGAGCTGGCGCAGCGCGTTGCTGAGCATCTGCTGGAAGATGTTGTACTTGATGACCTGGGCGCCCTTGACGCCGCCCACGATCTGCATGGGCGCCTTGAGCGGCCGCCCGCCCAGCGCCAGCGTCTTGATCTTTTGGTGGTGCGTCAGCATGCGCGCCAGGATAGTGCACGTCGACGCGCAGAAGCCGTCCGTCACGAGCACAATGTCCTTGGCCTCAAAGTGCGGCTCGGGCGGCGAGTCGTCGGGCCCGTAGCCCGACACCACGAAGCCCGGCTCGCCGACCGTGTCCGCCTTGGTGAAGTTGTAGCGGAGGATGCTGGAGAACTTGTCCTCCTTGGTGGCGAAGGGCCCCTGCACGGCCTTCCAGTCCGCGTAGCGCTTCAGGTCCTTGTCCAGGATGTTGTTGAACGCGGACCGCTCCTGCTTGGTGCCGTAGACGTCCTTGCCGATCACGTCCCAGGCGTCGGTCGCGCGGATGCGGGTGCCGTCAAAGGGCGGGTCGGCCTTGGGGAAGAGGTTGCGGTACAGTTCGTACGACTGGAAGAGTAGGCCGCCGCCGTTGGCCTGGACGTCGATGATGAGCTTGGTGCGCTTGGCCTTGCGGCACTCGCTGATAAAGGTGCGCACCACGCGCCGGAACTCGTGGAACTCGCGCGTGGTCCGCGTCGCGCCGGCCTTGGGCGAGAAGGAGAAGATGGAGAGCACAGCCACGTCCTTGTACTCGGTCTCGTTGAGGAAGTACCCCGCGATGTAATCGTTGTAGTGCTTCACCACGGGGTAGGGGTAGCCCACCACCGTTGGCGCCGCGGCGGGCGTCTTTGAAGTCTTGGCCTTCGTCTTACCGTTCTTGCTGGCCTTGGTGGCTTTCGCCTTGGACGAAGAAGACGTGGTGGTGCCGCTGCTGCTGTTAGTTGTGGTGGTAGCTGTCGTTGTGCCCGTAGTCGACGACGTGGTCCATGTGGTCGTCGCAGTTGCCTTGACCGACAGCGACGACGACACGGCGGCTTTTTCGGGAGCCGGGATCTCGTACGCCAGGTGCAGATCCCGGCCGTTCTCGATATCTGTGAGATCCTGTTGTATAACTGCATAGTTGGGGAAGGATTTGACGGATCCGTTAGCGTACTTGTAAATACTGGAGTCGGGGAGCTCGACATATCCGCCGCTCGTAAAGTAGCGGCCACCACCACGAGCGAGGGTCGCCGGGGAGGAGAAGAGATTGTTGTACTGCGCGTCCGGGTCTTGGAGGGCGCTGTTGGCGGCAACAATCTGCAGGTACTCAACGATGGCGAGACCGTCGATGCTGACGACCTCGGAAGGTTCAAAGTGCTTGCTCTTGGCCTGCTTCCGCAGGTCTTCAGCATCGTACACCTTGGGCAGCTCGATGCCGTCCTTGGACACCGACACGAGAGAGCGGCTGACCTGGAAGCCAAAGACGGTCAGTAGTGCGGGCCGGTAGTCGAAGTGGCCATCGTAGACCTGGTTGTAGATGGCGTTGACCTCCCAGGCAAAGTCGAGCTGAGACCTGTAGCCGCCCGCCCGCAGCTTCTCCTTAATCTGCTTGAGGCCACCGATGAGGTCGATAGGCGGATACAGGTAGCTGTCAGGAGGGTTTTTGAGGTATCCTATGGTGCTCTGCTGCTCGACGTAGGGGATTAGGGAGTCGATTAGCTCAATGTCTCTGTCAAGGTTCAGGGGGGCGGATGCCAGGCAGGCCAGGGCCAGCGACGGCTTGATTCGAGATCCCATCCCGAACTCGGCGGCTTTACGCGCGACTTGGCAGGGCTCGTGGGTGCTGTTATATGTCGACTGGCGGTCCCAGAGCAGACGGTTGGCGGACACGCCCGAAAGGAGGGCCGCAAAGGCCCATCCTAGCGCTCGCACCATAGTATGGTGCTTGTATACGAAAGGAGAGGAGTATAAGTGAGAGAAAAAAATACGAATAGAATCAGTTGGAGAGAGAAAAAGGTGTGGAAAACTGAAGGGCCCTTGATCTCATGGAACGCCAAGAGACAAGAACAAGGATGGGTATATATAAAAGAAACCAACAAACAAGTTGTCGTGATTCTGGGTGGAGCCTCTCTAAACAGCCTGGACAGGAAACGTCAGGCGTCTTAACGTCGATGCTGGCGTCACGGCTGAGTGTTTGGCGGGATGCTTACTAGGGGGTGAGCGGCTGCCCTGCCAAGCAACCCGGCTCCCCGCAGCCGCCCCTCCACTCGGAGTCGAGGCCCATGGTAGGCCCTCTCTCGCACGGCACACTGCGCCATGGAAGCAAGCCGCCTGCTTGAATCCTGTTTCCCAGGCTACACACTGGCTCAATAAGCACATCGTTCCGACCAAGGCTCTGGGCGTTTCGCAGTTATCCACTCGGATCCTCTGGGCTCGCTCAACTGCACCAGCTAGGTAGGAGATGGCTGGCTGATGCCCACATGATGAACGTTTAGTTAGTTGAGTAAGGGTCGCAACTTATCGCTGGCCAGCTCTGCTGCTTAGCAGGTGCATATTTCGTAGCTAGCTAAGTGAGGATGAAGGTGCCGCCTGTCTAGCGCGAATCCACGAGGTCCATGGGAGGCGGGCCAATCCGTCAAGGACCTGACTTTTGAGGGAGCTTGCGGGGTCAGTGATTGAGCAAGATGCAAGATGTCCGACAGGGCTAGCTTCGAAATAGAAGTCTAGTGCATGTCGCTCCTCACAGCGAGGCTCACGGCGAGGCCTCGTTCTCGATGAGAATCTCCAAAGAGAGCGCATAAATCGGCTCATTGACGTTGAGTGCCGCTGCAGGCTGACAGACGGAAGGATTGGGTTGACTGGAGATGGAGAATAAGCATAGCGAGTGCCTGGGCTGGTAAATTTAGAGGACCCCCAGTCGGTGTGGCTTGGCTTTTGATTACTCCATCCGATGTGGGTGGCTGCGATGGCAAAGTCAGCGGACAGCCTCTGCTAGCTTTGGGCCGGCTTCCGCTCGTGGAGGGAGCCATGCTGTCGAGAACTTTTATAACGAAAAAGCAAAAGCAAGATGCGCAATAAGTAGTACAACCAAGCAACCGAGGTGACGAGTTTGATAGTCGAGGCACCTCGTACGTGGTCGAGAAAAAGCAAAAGAAATGACCCAGACCCGATTTGAACGGATAACCTTTTGATCTGGAGTCAAACGCGCTACCGTTGCGCCACTAGGCCATTCGTGATCTACCCTGCCGATGGGGACTCTATCAAGTCTGGCTCTGGGCGGATCGCAAGGGAGCCACCACCTCCACTCTAAACGGGCAATCGACATCCACCCAAATACGTCAGGGGAAGCGACCATCCTTGTCCTTCCCAAGCTCCAACGCGACTGCTCAACCAGAACAAGAGCCACACCAGCATCTCGGTCGCGCCTGGAGCGTCTCACGAAAAGGAGGTTAGCCTGCGTCTGGCTTCACGCTGGTGTTTCACTGCTTGTTCTATGTCGATTGAGCATTGAACAGTCGCAAAGGATCGACGACACAACGCTCGGCGTCACCAGCAGCGATTCGAAATCCACCCCCCGTCATCGCGACCTTATCCAACACAACTCGGCATCAACGCAGAATGGCCCCAATCGACACTGCTTTCGGTCTGCTGGCCTTTGCGCAGCGCCGGTTTGACCGCCTCATCAGTCCTCAAGCTCGCAGTCGTGCCTTTGACCGAGTCCAAGCGTTCGCTACGGCGCGGCCCCTTTGGTTTGTCAGTGGGCCAGCTTGCTGTGGGGAGGCATCTTGTAATCCGGACTGTCAACTTTGCTACATTTTGTGCTAACAAATCGCATTAATGTTACTATGCAGACCTTCATCGTTGCCCAGGTTTTGACCTCGCTGCTCCCAATCGGACTGTTCCTCGCCTTCACCATCTCCATACTGGTCCTCTCGGTGGGCGCCGCCCTTCTCTTCTCTCTGTTCTGGCTCGGCGTCGCCCTCCTATTCCTCATCCCGGCCCTCTTCATGACCGTCTCGCTCGGCTTCCTCGTCTTCATGTGGGCGGTTGCTGCCCGCTTCGCCTGGTTCGCCCTCCCCGCCAGGATCAAGGCCTCCATCACGGCCGGTGCCTCGGGATCGTCCAAGAACCACAGAGGCCAGAACGGCTACCGCGAGGCCTACTATCCCACCTACGCGGCCGTGGCGCAGGCGGCGGCTGAAAAGGGCGCCAAGAACTACGGCGGAGACAGCGAGGTGCCGGCGCACAAGACTTACGACACCACGCCTCCCAAGTCCCCCTCCAAGTTCGACATCAACGGGTCATCGCCGCCCACTGAGCCCATTGGAATGGCGGACCTCCAAAAGCTCAGGGAGATGAAGGATGGGTCGGTTACCCCTTAGTTGGGGTATTTCGATGCGATCTGGGCAATAAGTCAGCCAGATCCAATTACTTCAAAAGGCCCCGGTCTGGCTACTATCGTTTCTTCCTGCACTAATTACTCGGGTTTTGTTCTTCTTTCATTATGCGAATCGGATTTCCATGTCTTGGGGTTCGGACGGAGTAGCTTCAAGGTTGGCAGAGTCCTTCCAGTCGGATTTCCCACTTGCTTTCAACACACAAAGTCACCAAGGGACCGGGCCTTGATGCGCGAAATTGTTATGAGCTCTGCGCTTTCACTGTTCAAGTGTTCAAATATCTACAAGACGGGCTATGGTTGACAATGGCTTGGTGCTGTTGGTTGGTATACCCTATTGCTGCTGTTAACTTGCTACTACACGATGCCAACCAGTTGTCCCCAACTCCCATCCAATGACATTAAGGTGTGCATGCAATTTCAATTCCATCTTCCATACCTAAACAGTCTCAGTCAGTGTTTTGTTCATTTTTCTTCCAGAGTCAGTGACGTCAACAACTGGAGGCCTGTAGCGCCATTGTTCCCCGCTCTGCTGCAGCACATGATCACCGCTGTCGCGCGGGTCATGTTTGGAGCTCGTGCTCGCAGCTACGCTCGGACCATGCATTGACGCGACTCTTGTCGCCTCAGCTCTCCCTCGGTCAAAGTTGGGGTCAGGAACTGTCGGATTGTCGATTCAAGGGCGGCACCGCTGGCAAGGTTCCCGCTCCGGCTTTGCCCAAGATTGCCATCTTGTTTCTCGTTCCCTTTGAAATTTTACCCGCCTTACCGCGTCTGGGGTCCTCGCCATGGCGAACCCCTTCGCCTTCAAGTCCGCCCAGGTAACCTTCTGGACGACGGCTGTTTACTTGGCGCTGCTTATACCCCTTGTCCTGATAAACGAGGGCGTGCCTCCTGTCAACCCTGATGGCTCGTAGGTTGATCCCTCTGGCCTGCCCGCCCTCTCGTCTGGTCTGGAGTTGGAGCTGATCAGCCACCGACACATCGCAGTCTCTTCCTGGATCGCGGCCTCAACATAACCGAGGCCTGGGCCGATCTGCAGGAGATCACGCAGTACTTCCACCATCAGAACAGCAGGGAGAACGACGATGTGCGGGACTACCTGCTGCGCCGTATGAAGCAGATTGTCCACGAGAATGAAGCGCAGGGCCAGACCACCATCTTCAACGATCTGTCGTCAAATCTGACCTTCAATCACTATGGTATCCCCGTCCACTACCAAGGGAATAACCTCTATGTCTATATCCGTGGCCAGGATGATGTGGAGGGTGAGTGGTGGCATGATGCGACGGCCGGCAAGCCCGTCGGAAAGGGAGGAGTGCTGGTAAACGCTCACTTTGACTCGTGAGTCCGCCTACTCTGTATCTCGTCAGTTCAACCCCTTTGTTGCGTCTATACTAACCGCCGCCGTAAATCTCCAGCGTGGCAACCGCATATGGCGCTACAGACGATGGCATGGGCGTGGCGACAGTCCTCCAGATGATCAGGTACTTTACCACGCCTGGAAACCAACCGCGCCGTGGCATCATCGCCCTGCTCAACAACGCCGAGGAGCCGGGCCTTCTGGGTGCCGCGGCCTTTGGACAGAGCCCCTTGCTGCCCTTTATCCACACCTTCCTCAACCTGGAGGGTGCTGGCGCCGGCGGCCGCTGCGTCCTTTTCCGCACCACCGACCAAGAGGTGACGAGCGCCTTTGCCAACGTGCAGTCGCCCTTTGGCTCCGTCATTGGCTCCGATGGCTTCAAGCTAGGCCTCATCCGGAGCGGGACTGATTATTCAGTCTGGCACGACATCTTCGGTCAGCGCGGCCTCGACCTCTCATTTTTCAGGCCGCGAGCACTTTATCACACGAACCAAGATGACGCCAGACACGCGAGCAGGCGGAGCCTCTGGCAGATGATGGCCAACTCGGCCACCACCCTGATCAATCTCTCGGCCGAGACGGGCTCAGACTACGTTGGCGAACGACCTGACGGGGCCAAGGACAAGGTCCCGAACGGATCCCCCAGCGACGGTGTCTGGTTCGACCTTTTCGGGAGCTCCTTTGTGCTTTTCAGCCTGAGGGGCATGTTTGCGTGGTCACTGACAATCCTGATCGTGGGACCCCTAACTCTGTTCCTCATGTTTTACCTGGTCCATGCGAAGGACAAGGGTTATATCTTCTCCTCAAAGTTGACATCCGCCAGCGACGGCCCAGACGGAGCCGAGTCCATACAGCTAGGCGGTTGGAAGGGCCTGTTCCGCTTCCCGGTTGCCCTCGCTGTTTCCGGGGCATTGGTCGTCGGGTCAGCTCTGCTGCTCAAAAAGATGAACCCATTCATCATCTACAGCAGTGAATATGCCGTGTAAGACCGAATCCCCGCACATACTTCGATCTCTGGGGAAAACGTATTGACTTTGTCGGCGATAACAGTTGGGCCATGATGATGTCGCTCTTTTATATCGTCTTTTGGGCCATTATGAGGGGTGCCAGTATCATGCGGCCAAGCGCGCTACATCGACTTTATACCCACCTATGGCTCTTCTTCCTCGGATGGGTCGTGCTCGTCGCTGTAACAGTGCTGGAGGATAGGAGGCAGATCGCCTCAGGCTACATGTTTGTCTTCTGGGAGTCGCAGGTCTTCCTGTCAACCTTGCTTGCCGTGTGCGATCTTTTCTCTCTGCCCAAGAAAGCGGATATTGCGCGAGGCCTCGAGGAGGAGGACCAGATCCGCGACCATCTCAACGCCGTTCCTCATGCCGACGATCTGATTTCGCCCTCACCTGGCGAGGCCGCGAGCCAGAGAGAGGAGGGGCGAGGACATGGTGACTCGGAAGAGGACGATCAAGAGCCCGCCACCGAAGAGACGCCACTCTTCCGGAAATCCCATGGTGGCAAGCTTGACACTTCGCTCTTCCGCAGGGGCTATCGCCGCTCTTTATCGGCCATGATAGACACGTCCAAGGCCGGACAGGATGGCGAGCAAATCCGGCAGCACGATGAGCTATACGGCAAGGAACAGTTCTGGTCGGGAGAGATGGTCTCGTCGACGTGGCTGCTGCAATTCCTGCTTCTGGGACCATTCCTCATAATTCTTGCGGCACAAATCGGACTGCTTGCCACCTCGGCTGTGAGCCAGACTGGCGTGGACGGCTCCAACCAGCTAACGCCGTTCCTCGTTATTGCGATCCTCAGCATCGTGCTGCTTACACCACTTTCCCCCTTCATCCACCGAGTGAGCAAGCATCTGCCTTTGCTACTTCTTGCCGTCTTCTCCGGCACGCTCATTTACAACCTCACCGCGTCGCCCTTCTCGCCCATGGCGCCCTACAAGATCTTCTTCAAGCAGACGATCGATCTCGAGACGGGCGTGACGGCCGTCCGGATATCGGGTATCGAGCACTACCTACATGACATCATCGCGGACATCCCCTCGGCGGCGGGCCAGGCTATCGAGTGCGGACCCAGCATCAGCCGCAGGGATCTGGCCGATTGTGTTTACGACGCCACCAAGGTACCGCCACGGCCGGCCTACGGCAGCGGCAACGACAGCCTGGAGCTGGCCCCCAACATGCCACCCACGACGGATTACTACAAGAAGCTGCTCGATGTCCGCATCTCGGATCGTTACTACGCCGCCGCCGCCGCCGGCAAGCGCGTCGGTCGCACGTCGGCGCGCATCCACATCAACGCCGTGAACACGCGCGTCGTCGAGCTCCGGTTCCCCGCCGAGGGGCCCGTCATCCGGTCAGTGAGCGTGGTCGGGGCGGAGCCCTGGGACGCGCGGTTCGGCGCCTTCCCGGAGGAGGGCGCCCGGCTCGTCCGGCTCTGGAGGCGCGACTGGGACCGGGGCTGGGCCGTGGACCTCACATGGGACGGCGACCGCGGCCTGGACGGCGATGCGGTCGCGCTGTGGAGCGACGCCAACGAGGCGGCGGACGCCATGCCGGCCTTCCGCGAGGTGGTCATGTACGCGCCGCCGTGGGTCGCCGTCTCCAAGGCGTCGCCGGGGCTGGTGGAGGGCAAGAAGGCCTTCAAGATCTAATGTGGAAGGTACCATTCATGACGAGGGGTCATCCTGTCATGTTGAGATTTGATGTTTTTTTTTTTTCTGGTTCTCTACACCTATCCTGCAATTATGTTTTTGATTAAGATTGTCAACACCGTAGCATCGTGGCCTTGGAATCGAGGTCACAGGTTTCCATTTTACAATGTATCAAATCAAATCAATATCTATCCAAACTTTGGCTGATACCATATCACCCTCCCTCGACAAGGGAGATTCGTGAATAACCACTTGGATATAGCGAGCTTGGTCGCCCCATCAAAGATAACCAACACACCAAGTCCTGCGGTATTGCATCATGGAAACCCCCTCATTCTACCTTGAAATTTAAAACCAGGTGTCGACCCAGCTGAATGGTGTGGAGTACTTGTTGTGCCTGATCCCCATAAGCCGTAAGAGTTGGCAATGCAATTTGCCTGATCCCCATAAGCCGCAAGAGTTGGCAATGCAATTTCACAAAGCAAGGTCACGGCGGCATCTCAGCCACGGCACCGCAAACGGGGGGGCGCTCGGTCACGAGCTGAATGGCGGAGCCGGCACGAGTCGGGAGAGACCCGGGAAAAAAAGGCTATTCCACCCACCGCCATGGGGAGGGGCGGCGCCCGTCCGGTCTTTTTTGATCAGCTCGGTGACAGTTCCAGGGTTCCTGGCCAAGAGTCGAGCTGAGGCCCAGGGGGGTGGGTGGCATAAGGGCATTACTCGCGCGCGGTGAGCTTGAATCCAGAAGATCCAGAAGCAGAAGAGAAAAGGCCGAGGGGGCACCGCAGGGCCAACTCTGGAGGAAGTCCCATTTGCGAAGGCGAGCGGTCTCGTTTGATATTGACTAGGGAGTGAGAAAGGAAAAGAAAAAGAGAAGCTTCCGAACAAAAAAAAAAAAAAAAAAAAAAAAAAGTACTGGTGAGGTTGAGGATGGGGTCTCGCGCACGTTGCGACCCAGCCCCTTCCCCTTGGGTGGGCCATCCTTTTTTAGGAGAAGCGAGCGGCGGCGACGATGGGAGAGAGGCGGGAGAAGAATCAAAAAAGAAGCAAAGCGAAGCAACAAGAATTAAGCTACGAGACCGAGTCAGATACCATGTTCGCCTGGTTTTAGAGTTTCTGTGAGGGAACTAAGCAGAACTAAGCAAAAGAAGCGAGAGTCGTCATGTCCGCAGAAAGGCATGTGCCGCCTATTGGGCATGAAGCTTAGGGGTAGCTAGAACGGATGAGGGAGTTATCGCCCTGTCGCCGACCATTTTGCAACGGCCTGGCCGCACCACTTGGAGGTCGAGTTGTGGCGGCTGGTAGTTTGAGGGAGGCGGCGGGGGCGGCGCAGAGGGCGGCGGACGGATCGTCGCGTGTTTCGGAAGCCCTGCCAGTGGGACGGGAAGCGATGGTGGAGGCTGGGAGGAATAAGATGTGTGTTAAGGAGGAAAATCTTTGCGTAGGGCGAGACATGGTGATTGATATGGGTCTTCCCTTGAAGTAACACCATCCCACAAGATGCCCGACCCGCCTCCCGTGTGAGGATGCTGCCTATGACGTGGGTATGCGTGGCTAACGAGGAGTTGCGCGATGACACAGACCGGCCTGCCTGTGTTGGACCTGCCTGTTGTTGGCTTCGTGCTCGCCACCCTCAAGTTTCCGGCAACATGCTGCCGCATACACAGTACAGCACCAGCCCTCCATTTCGAACTGCCGAGACGAGGTCTGCCGGAAAGAAGCCGATGCAGATTCTGAAACTCACGCTCCACGGTAGCAATCAAAAGAGAAGCGGTGTCCGGGCCCGATTTGGTCTCTTGATAGAGTCGAAGGCTTTTAGTCAGACGTGGGGGCTTGGTTTGTCAAAGGGCAATAATAAGAGAGGAGGAAGAACGGGAAAGAGGAACCACGGGAGACGATGGAACTCGACACCCTGGTCGCCTCCGAAGCGCCGGGCAGAGGACGGGTCTCTTGCCAGTCCTTGCGGCGGCCGCGGCGGCCGTGCCGGTGCATGTAAGCATGACATCAGCGGGCCAAGGCCGAGGACTCTAGGGGAAGACGGGCTTCTAGTAAGGGAGCTGGCTGGGGCTCTGGGAGTTGATATCGTGATTCTGGATGTAGTCAATCACGCCCTGGCATCCGTGGCTATCGGCCGAATCAAGTCAATCGATCAACGGAGATGGGTTTGTCTGGAACTGGTATTGGATGTGTCGATCAGTGCAAGGGTCAAGACAATCCCGCAGCTCTGCAGGCATATTTGCTTGATCCGGAAGTAAGCACAGAGCCTGGCACGACCGGGATAGGACGAAGGAACCAAAAAAAAACCGCATCGAGGCTCTGCTGTCGGGGTGGTCTTGGCCATGCAGGCTGTCAGGGGCCGCCCGCACCACGAGGGCCTTGGTCGACGAACCCGAGGCTTTGCGGCCATTGGCAATCAAACCACCCGCATACACAGTACTTTCGAGGTGCGGCAGCGGGTGGCCTGATTGATGGTATTGGCGTCGGCCTGGCAGACTCCCGCTACTAACGTCGGGCCAAGCCACAGGGGACGGACGAGGAGAGAGGAGCGGGAGCTGGACACCCACCCTCCCAACAGGGGTGTTAAAACTGGAGATCACAGGGGTGGCGAAAAGGGGTCACGTGCTGGCATAAAGTTACTGCCATTGTTGAAGTTGGTGAAAGAAGGAGAGAAATCGAAAAAAGCTTTTAAAGGACGAGAAATTCTTGAAGTCTCGTGACATCCCCCCAAGTCACCGCGGCCACTTCGATTTCCAGTTTCAATCCCCCTGTTACCCCCCTGTTGCTGGGTGGGTTTTTATTTTTATTTCCCCCGCAGATGGTAGGCAGGTCGAACCCCGCCAGGGCGCAGCTTGCTCGCACCAGACCCACAGCCAGTTCGCGGCTTCCCAGTTTGGTCATTTCAGCCGGCCATTCGAGAAAATCTCACTCTCACTCCAAAAGCGGGTATGTGGAGTGCGATTTTCTGCTGAAAAAACGAGCTGCGAGGCCTGATTGGCCGCGGTCCATTCTCGTCTCATCTCGCTCAAAAGGGAAAAAAGGAAAAGGGATCCAAAAGAGACAAACAACAACAAAAGTAAGGGACCCGATTACGACGCCCGAGAGGCGAAAACATCAGAATATCGCCAACAGCGAAAACCATGGTGCGCCCCTCCGGCCCATTTCCGAATCCGGCTGGTGGCCGAGGCGGTGGCTGTGGCGGCGCGTCCAGGAATCAGAAACACGCAACCAACCCAGCACACACGCTTGCAGCAGAGCACCTCGGTGCCCTAATACAGGTCCCAGGGATCACAAACCTTAGTACGATGGATCCTGGTGGTACATCAGTTTGGCTTGGTTTTCCAAGGAAAAAAGTGTATCTTGCTCCACTGCACTAGTATTTGTGATCCCTGGAACGTATACCTGGCCTGCCTTGGTTTTAGGCCCAGGCTTGCTGTCCTTCCTTGCCTGGCCGAGCCTCGGAGCCCGCTTTCCTCTTCTGGAATCGCACTTTTTGCCCCGCCGGCGCGTTGTGGAGAAGCGAGCTGACGACGCAGAGAGGCTGGACATGAATTCAAATAATAAAAACTCATATGCAGGTCATCATCACAAATACCAAACGCCAACTATTAAACCCGTGTTGCGAACGGATCAACGTCCCTCCCCGGTGGATCGCAGAACCGAGTTCGACCCGAACTCTGGTTGCGGCTGGGACGGCCCTTCTCCCCTACTTTCTCCAGGCGGTTGCGACGCTATAACGGAGGGCAGTTATATGAGCACTTTCTGCCAGCGGGTGTGCCCTTCCCCCCGCCGTCGTGCCATCTCGCCCTCCAGGGCCCCGCCCCATGGCACGACGCCGGTGGAGCCCTCGTGTGCGCGCATCTGGTCTTCATCGATGCTTTGCATGATGCCCTGCGATGCCCTCGGGGGTTGCTGGCGGGTGGGTCCTCCGCAAAAAAAAAAAGCCCAGGCGAGCCAGGGCTGCCTGCGGCTCCAGTTGGGTCGCGACCTTGGTCACCCACTCACTCCCTGGCTCGTCTGCGTGGCCCGGCGAGCGCCGGTGGTGTCGGAAAGTGGGTGATCAGGCCGGGCGCGCGCAGACAGGCACATGGACGGGAAACACAGACTGAGTACCACACAAGGAGCGCAAAGGCACCGGTAGTTCATAACGAATGGGTACCGTATTCGTTTCTGCGTATGCTCATCCTATCAGTTTGATAGCGAGCCCGCCAGGCTGGAGTCTCGCCTGATATTTATTGGTGGTTCTCCGCGTTGGTTGCTGTGGAATAAAGATTCCAGATTCGGAGCCCTGGTATTGGGCGGCTGAACTCCGCCCCAGCCAGCCTTTTTCTGTTGTTCATGCGTCGGCGTGACCAGCACATGGCTGACTGTTTCGTTCAAGACAAAACAATAAAAATAAGCTGCCCCTGTTTCCACTCGAGTCTAGGTGTGTTGCAACCCTTGATCGGGATCCGGACCTGCTTGGTCGTGGGCCATTTTGGGCTCTGGTCGTTCGACCTCGTTATGCAGCTAGCTCTCTAAACTGCAAAAGAGGCAGAAATCAAAGAGGGGGAAAGGTGAGCAAGGAAAAAGAGTGGCTGGGGCGGGCGGGCAAGAAATGTTGCCGCCGCCGTCGCTGATAGGTCCATTGTCCTCCCGGAGTGCGTGTGTGGTAATCGAGCCGTTGACGGGGTTGATTGCGACAAATGCCACTCAAAAGAACGACTAAGAAGAAAAGAAGAAAAAAAGCAAGCACATGTCGGCGCCAAAAAAGCGCGTGGTGGAAATGTGGGCTCTGCTGCCACCAACCACACACTCACTCACACCCACACCCCTCTCCGGGGGCGAACAAGATCGAAGGCCGTGTGGGGCGCGCGCCGAACCCCTGCCTGGTATCGAAGGCAAGGTGCCTGAGCAGCCAGAACCCCGGGATCGGATCTTGGGCGGTTGAACTAGCAGGAACAGGCAGGTGGGCATTCCACCCGAGTGAGCTGAAGCCCCTGGTCTCCTTCGGGCGGCCGCTCCATTTCCGGAAAATGGACATCAGATAGTCGGCCAGGGGGTGGTGGTATTTCGCCTTTGCTGCTCGTTATCCTGCGCTTTCCCCATTTTCTTTTTTACTCCGTTGGGAGCCGTCTTCTCTGTTTTCTTCCTTTGTCCTTCTTTTGATTCTCCATGTTGCTTTTTTCTTTATTGACGGCTGGGTATTAATCGTTGGGTATTCCGTATATAATACCCACATTCACGACGTAATACACCCTATAGCGCGTCGTCCCCCTCCCAGCCCCATCCCATCGTCCAACCACCCCCCCATCGCTAGGTTCTGGGTCCTCCCATCGGATCGGGCGTGTAGAGTAGCAAGCAATGACCTTTCCATAAGGCATAAGGCCGGCCCAGACCCCCCTTGCCCAAATTACACTCTTTTCGTCATCCCTTTTTTGGTTGTTTTTATCTTCCTTCCCTTGTCACCTCTTCGCCAAGCGTACCTGCGATCACTGCCGCCGATCATAGTGCCCCCGCGACCCGAGGCCGACCGACCGACCGACCGACCGATATAGAGACCTCTCCGACGGGATCATGAGGTTCCTCCTCGCCGCGGCAGCGCTGCTGCTGTCGGCCGTTGCGCCGGCGGTGGCCCAAGCCCAGACAAACGCGACGGCACCGACGATGCCGACACCTCCACTAGCCTTGCTCCCGCCCTGTGTGGTACGTTTGGATCGGATGGGTGGTTGTGGTGGCGGCGGTGCTGGTGGTAGACCGTAGCCGTGTTGGAGGAGAGGGAGAGAGATGGATGGGTTGTCAGAAGGCGGTCTTGCTAACAAGCCGTTCCAACTGATAACAGGCAACATGTCTGCAAACAGCAATAATCGCCTCCAAGTGCTCGTTCCTGGACCGGGCGTGCATATGCGCAGACGCCGAGATGCGGGGCAAGGTCTCCAACTGCGTCCAAAAGTCGTGCACCGTCAAGCAGGGCCTCCAGCTGGCCAACCTGACGGCCACGACGTGCGGGGCCGAGGTGCGCGACCGCCAGGAGCCGCTCCGCGTCACCGCAATCATCCTCGGCACGCTGTCGGGCGTCTCCGTCGCCGTCCGCGTGGCCGCGCGCCTGCTCATCGTGGGTGGCCCCCTGGGCGTCGACGACTGGCTCATCATGGGAACGTTGCTCGCGGGCATCCCCAACACCGTCATCATCGTGCACGGCGCCATTGCGAATGGGCTGGGGCTCGACGTGTGGACGCTGTCCTCCGAAACCATCACCGAATTCGGTCGGTGGTTTTTCATCATGGAAATTGTTTATTTTTTCCTTGTCTCCATGACCAAGATGTCGCTCCTCTTCTTCTACCTCCGCATCTTCCCCGCGAGGGGTATCCGCCGAATGATTTGGGGCACCGTGGCCTTCAACGCCGTCTACGGCCTTGTCTTTATCTTCGTCGGCGTCTTCCAGTGCGCACCTGTCGAATTCTTCTGGCAGAGGTGGGATGCGGAGCATACTGGCACCTGCCTCGACATCAACGCCATCCCCTGGGCTAACGGTGCCATCAGCATCGCCCTTGACTTTTGGATGCTGGCGCTGCCGCTATCGCAGCTCAGGCACCTGAAGCTCCACTGGAAGAAGAAGGTTGGCGTCGGCATGATGTTTGGCGTTGGCACCTTGTGAGTCTGCCCCTGAAAGGTATTTCTGAAGGAGAACAGGTCAGCTGACAACCGCCGAAAACAATAGTGTTACCGTGGTCAGCATCCTGCGGCTGCAGTCCTTGGTCGAGTTCGCCAGCTCGAGCAACCCGACATGGGACCACTGGGATATAACCCACTGGTCCGCCATCGAGATCAACGTCGGCATTATATGCGCTTGCCTTCCGTCGCTGCGTCTGCTGCTGGTGCGCATTTTCCCGCGCCTGGGCGGCTCCTCGGACCGATACGGGTCCAAGGCGCAGGACAACGGGCCGAGCAAGGGTTTCTCGCGGCCAAGTACGGGCGTTGCTCTGGTGAGCCGCGGCGGCGCCGTGGAGCTGGAGAGTAGCCCCGGCAAGAAGGGCCAGAAGCACGGTCGGCAAACGTCACGCTCCACCGCGCGGGAGCTTGGCGTCCACTCGACCGTCGACAGGGGTTCGCTCGACGACGATACCGCCACCGTAAAAGGAGGCATCACATACTCGCGGTCTTACGAGGTGTCGGTGTCGTACGAAGACCGGGACGAGGAAACCCTTGTTGGAATGGGTTCCGAGAGCAGGCCCAGGTCAAGAGATAAGAAGGGGAGGCAGGAGTCTGGCAGGAGGGAGCGCGAAATGCAACCTCAAGGGGAGAGGGAAGGAGGAATGCCGGTGCCGGGCGAGAGAGGAGGCGACAGTCGAGCGGGTGGCCACGGCTACCACCGCCGCTTCCACACCAACTCGTCGAGCAATTCGAGTTTCCAGTCGCCATCGGTTGAAAAAATACCAGAAAATGTTGTATAACTATATTTATATAGCATCGCGTATTGAAGGACCCGAATGTCTGATGAACATGGACTTTTGATGACACCCCGGGCTTCCGAGCCCCGCTACAGATCTCCAGGATATTCAATGTTACGACCCACAGAGCATTCCTATTGGCCCTCGTAACGTTCAATATCCTGGAGATCTGTAGGCTAGTTCCAAGGATTGGGCGTGTGCCTTTGTCGTGAAGAGGTCTAAAACATGCGTAGAGACTGGCGGATGGGTCTTGTTATTGGATACGCGGGATGCGCTTCATATAGGTATGTAGGCGTGAAGCGAGGCCGTAGGTGGTCCGGGTAGAAGTTGGCCAAGCCGTGGGAATAGCAACTTTAAAGGGTACTGTGATCGGCCCCTGGTTCGATAACGCTTTCGCCCTCAGCGTATGGGTTGAATGCAATCTACCCCTCCTAGGCCGTTCCACCTCTTTCTGGCCTACAGACTGCTACTTGGCGGGCTGCGAAGCCTCGCATTCTGGGGTGATTAGTCCAACTTGGTGTCGTCCTTCCCACTAGGCGCCGTCTTCCCGTCGCCGCCGGCGCTGCTGCTGTCCGACGCAGAGTCGGCCCTGCGGGTCAGGACATGATCGATGATGCCGAGGCCAAGTGCCTCCTGAGACGTCAGGTACTTGTCACGCTCCATCATGTCCTGGATCTCTTCGGGGCTGAACCTCTCGCGGTCCGCGGCAACGTTGAGGTGGCGGCGCACAATCTCGTTGACCTGGGACCGGATGCGGGTGATCTGGCTCGCGTAGATGAGGATGTCCGAGGCCTGGCCGCTGGTTGCGCCCAGGGGCTGGTGGACCATGATCTGGCTGTGCGACAGGGCGTAGCGCTTGCCCTTCTCGCCGCCCAGGAGCAGGATGGCGCCCATCGAGGCGGCCATGCCGACGCAGACGGTGTGGACGGGCGACGAGATGTACGACATGGTGTCGTAGATGGCCAGGCCCGACGACACCTGGCCGCCGGGGCTATTGATATACATGGTGATGGGCTTGTGCGGCGCGTCCGACTCGAGCCAGAGGAGCTGCGCCACTATGGCCGCCGAGGTGCTGTCGTCAACCCCGCCATTGAGGCAGATGATGCGCTCCTGGAGGAGCTTGGAGAATATGTCGGCTGTGGCGGCCGGGCCACGAGGTTAGCTGCCGCGAGTGCATGCGAGGGACACGAAGAGGATGGGGCGGTTACGAACAGGTTCGCCAGCCGCCAGCCTGCAGTCAAACAGTAAGCCATGACCCTGACCAGGAAGCAAACACGGTACTTACAGTCACTTCTGTGATGAACGGGACGGGTACTCCTCCATGCGGCGGCAGGCTGGAGAGCCATCTCCTTGGGCAAGCGAAACCGCCCCGCACTGTCCGTGGCCCAATTGACGACGCACACCTCCCGGCAGCGGCCCGAAATATACTTGGTAGACTCATATCGTGTATGTGGTGCGGATTAGCTGTGCGGTCTCGTGCTCGGCGCTGCAGGCCGAAGTAGCGAAGGATGTAGGACAACCTCAAGGGAGGAAGGGGAGGAAGCGCGACGGAGCTCGAGGCGGAGTTGCGACGCTGGGCTGAAGCTTGGGAGCTGAAGTGGGGCGGCAGGTGGGTGCAGCTCGATGCTGTTATCGATTAAGCCGCCCTAGTTTCCATCCCTGGCTTCCATCCACCAGAGCACTTTTTTGTCGGCTGATGTCTCGAACTGAATCTCGTTCGCGCCTACCTATACTCGGCCTTTACCAGACCCATGATCTGCAGTATCCCAATAACCTCGCAATGAGGGGGACAGCGTCTCTGCATGGCAGCCTCCAGGGCGCCGGCAAACGTTTCTTGAGCTCCCAGAGCCGGCGGGTCTGGCCCTCCAGCCATGACCTCCCGCGAAAGAGGCCGCTCGGGGAGGACAGCCAGGCCGACCAGGTCACCTGGGACCTAGCGCAGACTCAGCTTCGGCCTCGTATAGACGCCGACAGCAAAACAATCGCCACCCCAAGCGGCGATCTACCAATATCCCCGCTTATGGACGAGCGCGGTCTGAAGGCGCAGAGAAAGCGGAGGCTTCCTAAGCCCGCCGCCGACAAGTCCCAAAATGGAATATTTGAAAGGCGGCTCGAGGACAACCCATATGGTCAGTGTGCTCCTGGTCCGCACTGGTCCCTAGTGGAGTTAAGCCGCGACTGACATGCGGCCGCCACGCAAAGCCACGGCCCTGGGAACCCCCATTCGCCTGGATGCGGCAACAAACACGATTCTGCCCAGGTTTTTCTTTCAAGACTTCCACTTCGTAAACCATCCCGAAACGAACGCCCCGTGGTTTACGCCAACCTCACTATTACAGAGCAGCGATCAACCTACAAGGGACCGTTCTGCCAGCGAGCAGTCTACAATGAATTCTGACCGCATATACGAGGCCATAGTTGCGCCTGATGGAGAGGCCGACGGGGTAGAATCACCAGAAGCGCCGGCAGATGCCAGCGCCGAGGAGCTTTCAAAGGAGCCCTCCAATACCTCCCGACCCGAAACCGCGGGTGCCTATGCCATGTTCCGACGGGACCTGTTCACGGCGCTTGTCGGCGGCGAAGGGGTACCTCAGGGGCTCAAGCAGTACCGCAACAGACACGCCAAAATGGCGAATTTCGCACGCCAGGCGCGTGCCGTCTGGCGCGCCGACATGGACGAGGTCGTGCTGGACCTCACGCGAGCGCGCGTGTTGAAGAGCCTCTTGTACTTGGCCAGGTTCGACGATGACCCGGTGGATCCCAGACATTACATAGTGCGTTGCCAAGCTGAAAGTCTCGAGGCGGAGGACTGGGCCAAGCACGAGTTCCGCGGATGTGTCTTGTGGCTTGGCGGTGGCGAGGCGAACAGCGCGCCGCCGCCGAAGGAGTTTGAGATCATTCCGGTCCCAAATGTCAGGCGCAACACGGCTCTGCCCGTACACGACCTGAACGGGCTGCTCGGGGCCAAGGCAGTCGAGAGACTTCGTGCGGAGTCTGTGATCTTCAGAGAAGGGGCTTTCTTTTTGTTGTCGCGGGCGAGGACCAAACAGCTGCAGATGTGGTTGTGGAAGCTGCAGGGCTATCTTGCCGAATATCCAGAGTTCCAGTGATGTCGACAAGTTACATGTAGATATGCCACAATGTAATGCAATGCAATGCACTGCCGTATACGTCTTGGCGGGCGGTGCGTGGTCACATATCTGCCTAATCCAAAACCCCGCGTATCCTCACATTCAGCCTTGCCAATGGAGTGGTAAAACCCTTTGTGGATGTAGGTGTTGAGGGTCCAGTCAGTCTGCAGCAAACAACATGAAGGCGGCTATTATCCCGACAGGGTTTCGACCACAAAGAAGGGTCTGGAAAAAGTCAGAAGGGAGGGGGACAAAAAAACAAACGGCCGCCGGCAGCCGGGCGGGGGTTTTCAGGCTTGTTTGGCGTTCTCCCGATTTCCACAAGAATCCAGCAGTCAATGGAAGCAGCTCCCTGGTTTGCGCCCCCCAGATTTTTGGCGCCGCCGACTGTTTGCCAGCGCCTCTCAGGCACCAGGGTGGGAGCTGCCTCCCAGACCCCTGCAAACAGAGCTTCCCCGTCCCCAGCGCGGCCAATCAGAGGCCGCCATGGTTGCTATGGGGGCGGGCACCTGCGGGCGCAGAATTCTAGACTGATAGAATCCGATAGAATCGAGGGGTGCTTTTTGCAGACATTTTTCTACCCGTCATGCAGCCCGTCTGCGTCCTCTGCTCGAATTTCTCTCTTCTCTCTCCATCTCAGAATCGCCATCTTCTCTTCCGCTATTCGGGTTCCGGTTGCGAACTATCACGACTTTTCCTTGCCCTTTGATACCCCTCTCTGCGACCATTTCAGGTAGGATTCCCACTTACACGCCCTGCCTGCTTGCCCTGCCCTGCCCCGCCCCCTCCTCGCTCTTTCCTGCACCATTCTCGGCCAACGGGCAAGGGTGTCAGCCTTGCGCGCCCGCCCTCCGAGTTTGGAGGGGAATCTTCCATTGGATTCCACGTCCAAGCGCAGCCCTTCCTCCAGACTGCTCGCTCAATCGCAATCACCCCGCCATAAATCTTTGCCCTCCTCCCGTCACCTCTCGAGAGTTGCCCTCCGTCTTCAAACTTCACGCGCTGCCTGCCTTCCCATCTCCCACCTCACTGGCGCCTCAGCCTCCCCACCGTCTAGGCAAATCTACATTGCAACCTCACCAGACCACTTTCGCAGTCAGGACCTCGCATCTAACATCGCCCCAAGATTCTAGACGACAGCACCACATCCGCCAAGATGGCTGAGACTTTCGAGTTCCAGGCTGAGATCTCTCAGCTGCTCTCTCTCATCATCAACACCGTCTACTCCAACAAGGAGATCTTCCTGCGAGAGCTCGTCTCCAACTGCTCAGATGCTCTCGACAAGATTCGCTACGAGGCCCTGTCGGACCCCAGCAAGCTGGACTCCGGCAAGGACCTGCGTATCGACATCATCCCCGACAAGGAGAACAAGACCCTGACCATTAGGGACACGGGTATTGGCATGACCAAGGCTGTGAGTACCCATTGCCGCGGACGCGCACCACCACGCCGGCCATTACTCGTTGCTAACATGACCTTTCTCTCCAGGACCTTGTCAACAACCTCGGTACCATCGCCCGCTCGGGTACCAAGCAGTTCATGGAGGCGCTGACTGCTGGCGCCGATATCTCCATGATTGGCCAGTTCGGTGTCGGTTTCTACTCTGCGTACCTGGTCGCCGACAAGGTGACTGTCATCTCCAAGCACAACGATGACGAGCAGTACATCTGGGAGTCGAGCGCCGGTGGCACCTTCAACATCACCGCCGACACCGAGGGCGAGCCCCTTGGCCGCGGCACCAAGATGATCCTGCACCTCAAGGATGAGCAGACCGACTATCTTAACGAGAGCAAGATCAAGGAGGTCATCAAGAAGCACTCCGAGTTCATCTCGTACCCTATCTACCTCCACGTCCTGAAGGAGATCGAGAAGGAGGTTCCCGATGAGGAGGCCGAGACCAAGGAGGAGGAGGAGGAGGGCGACGACAAGAAGCCCAAGATCGAGGAGGTCGACGACGAGGAGGAGGAGAAGAAGCCCAAGACCAAGAAGATCAAGGAGAGCAAGATTGAGGAGGAGGAGCTCAACAAGCAGAAGCCCATCTGGACGCGCAACCCTCAGGATATCACACAGGAGGAGTACGCTGCCTTCTACAAGTCGCTGTCCAACGACTGGGAGGACCACCTTGGTGTCAAGCACTTCTCGGTTGAGGGTCAGCTCGAGTTCCGCGCCATCCTCTTCGTCCCCAAGCGCGCCCCCTTCGACCTGTTCGAGACCAAGAAGACCAAGAACAACATCAAGCTCTACGTCCGCCGTGTCTTCATCACAGATGATGCCACCGACCTCATTCCCGAGTGGCTTAGCTTCGTCAAGGGTGTTGTCGACTCCGAGGATCTGCCCCTCAACCTGTCGCGCGAGACGCTGCAGCAGAACAAGATCATGAAGGTCATCAAGAAGAACATTGTCAAGAAGTCTCTCGAGCTGTTCAACGAGATTGCCGAGGACAAGGAGCAGTTCGACAAGTTCTACAGCGCCTTCTCCAAGAACCTCAAGCTTGGTATCCACGAGGACTCGCAGAACCGCGGCACTCTGGCCAAGCTCCTCCGTTTCAACTCGACCAAGTCTGGCGACGAGATGACCTCGCTGTCCGACTACGTCACTCGCATGCCCGAGGTCCAGAAGAACATCTACTACATCACTGGCGAGTCCCTCAAGGCCGTCCAGAAGTCTCCCTTCCTTGACTCGCTCAAGGAGAAGAACTTCGAGGTCCTCTTCCTCGTCGACCCCATTGACGAGTACGCCATGACTCAGCTCAAGGAGTTCGAGGGCAAGAAGCTGGTTGATATCACCAAGGACTTCGAGCTCGAGGAGACTGAGGAGGAGAAGGCCATCCGCGAGAAGGAGGAGAAGGAGTACGAGGACCTGACGAAGGCCCTCAAGAACGTTCTCGGCGACAAGGTCGAGAAGGTTGTCGTCTCGCACAAGCTGGTCGGCGCCCCTTGCGCCATCCGCACTGGCCAGTTCGGTTGGTCCGCCAACATGGAGCGTATCATGAAGGCCCAGGCCCTGCGCGACACCTCCATGTCGAGCTACATGTCGTCCAAGAAGACTTTCGAGATCTCGCCCAAGAGCAGCATCGTCAAGGAGCTCAAGAAGAAGGTCGAGGCCGACGGCGAGAACGACAAGACTGTCAAGTCGATCGTCCAACTGTTGTTCGAGACTTCCCTGCTGGTCTCGGGCTTCACCATCGAGGAGCCCGCCGGCTTCGCCGACCGCATCCACAAGCTCGTCTCTCTGGGCCTGAACATCGACGAGGAGCCCGAGGCTTCTGCCGACGCCCCGGCCGCCGACGCCGACGTGCCTGCCGCCGAGACCGGCGACAGCGCCATGGAGGAGGTCGACTAAGCGACGCGACTGACTGGCGGCGAAACGGCGCGACGACTGGGTTTCTGAGCAAAAGTCTTGGTGTTAATCTGGAGTTTCGGGAATTGGGTGTTTCGGGTCTGGCAATGATGAGTCCCCCCCATGCAAAGTAGTACTGCATGTTGTTTTTAGTGAGCTTTTAAGCATGGTTCATGGTTCTTTTCCGTCTCCCTGCCGTTGAGTAGGGCCTTGGCTCCCTTACCTTTTCGTCACTGCCATGCACATCTCCAACCTTGATTTTCGCGCGCTGCATGGCATGACAGGCTTTGTAAATTAGCATCAGGGAGAGAGTATTTGATGCGCTGGTAGATGGTTCTTTGCAGGTAGACAGACAATGGAATGGGAATGCTTAGAACAGTGTTGTCGCCATCTGACCAAAAGTGACATGGACGGTTGCGAGCATTCCAATAGTAATACAAAAGCTCGCTTGTTTTATTGATTGATTTTCCAAGGTTTTTTTTTTTGTGAAAGTACAAAACCGAAGTGAAGAGAAAAAGAAAGAGAGAAAGGAAAGCTGGCTCGACCGCTAAACCCATCGAAAAGGAAACACGAAACGAAAGGACATCCTCCAGCTTCTGGAGAAAAGAACGTAGGATATAATAAAAGTGATGAAGAATAAAGATGAAAAGGAGAAAAGAAATACAATGGGGGAAAGGAGAATGGTGAAGTAGAAGCGAGTGTGGTGCTTTTTTTTTTTCCTCCTCTCCTTGATCGGAGGGATATCATCTGCAACGAGCGAGTCGTCTCGAGGCCGTAAAGATGTGGGGCCGAGGCCGGGCGAGTGAGCGCTGACTGACGGTCGAGAGAGGGGGAGGAAGCAGGGTAAAAGATAACCAAGAAAAAAGTAGTGACGAAGGGGCCAGGGGCCGCCGCCTTGTGTGCCTAGCCATGTGCGTGCGAGGGATTGCGACAAGGAAGGCGACAGGGGAGGAGAAGAATGGGATAGAGCGAATGGAAGGAGATATCCAACAAGAAGACCAACCGATTCCCATGGTTTACATGGCACCCAAATAGCCACCTACCCTCCAGACCCTTCGTGTATCCCTTCAAGCCGATGGATGTATCCATTTCCCGCTTCATAGTTGTCGTGTTACCAAAATGTATACATGGATAGATGATGTTCAACCTTTTGATCCAAGAAAAGATGAAAGGAAAAGAAGAAAAAAAGACATCTTGGCCTCTGTTTGCCCTTTTCGTTACCCCATTTTCCCTACGCTTTAGCCCAGTAACTACCGTATTGGCCACGTCGTCACCTTCCCGCTCTAGCGCCCAGAGGGGAAACTGTATCTGGCGCTTGGATGTTTTTATCGTGCGCACGCGCGTGCGCAAGTCCCATAACAAGAGGGTTGGTGTGTTATAGGGAGACGTCACCCCCTTCATCCTCGTCGCGGAACCGGATGCCGCCCTTGACCTGAATGGCGTCGCGAACCCACTCGGACGCGGCCACCTTTTCGACGGTCCAGCGACTGCGCGCGCGCTTGAGCAGGCCTTCGGTGATGTTCATGGCACCGAGGAGGTCCTTTGACCGGAACATGGCCTCGTCGCCATCGTGGTCGCCATCCTCGCCCGCGAAGGCGACCCAGCGCCACTCGACGCGGGCGATCCGGTGGCTTGTGCGTGATCGCATCCGGTGCGCACTGTCTGCCCCGTTTACGGTGCCGGGGAGCGGATCGAAGGGCAGCCGGGACTCGAGGAGCGCGTACAGCAGCACGCCTAGTGACCAGGCGTCGATGGCGCGCCCGTCATAGGGCTGTCCCATGATGACCTCGGGCGCCGCATAGTCGTCGGACCCACACCGCGTCTCGAGCTTCTCGTCGTCGGCCACACGCCGTGACAGACCCAGGTCGGTCAGCGTCGAGACCGGGTATGGGTACGTGGTCCAATCGATTGAAGGGTCTGCCAGTTCACTGGGAGTGAGGTTGACCAGGACATCTACAACCAAGTTCGAGGGTGTTAGTGAGGCTGCGCGTCAAGTATAGGAGCAGATTATATACTGACTCTCTAGCTTTATGTCCCGATGAACGATGCGCCGCTCATGCAGGTACCGGACAGCACCGACGAGCTCCGAGAATATACGGCGCATCAGGGACGGGCTCAGCAGCTTCCGATGAGCGGTCGCGACATCGAACAGGTCGCCACCTGGACAATAGCTCAGTATGAGTATAGCTCGCGTGGGCTCGATGTTCCAGGCACGCAGGTGAACGAGCGACGGGTGGCGGATGGACTGCATGATTTCGAGCTCGCGCTTGAGGCTCATCTCCACCCTGTCCTCCGAGGCCCCGCCCTTGGGACCGTGTTCGCACACCTTGACCGCAACCAGCGTCCTGCGGTCGTACCTCTGGTGGGGAGGGGGGCGCAGCGACTGCAGCTGGTCCGAGTCGCCAGCTCCGCTCTCATCATCCTCTTCAATCTCGGGCGGGGCGCTTGTTGCCAACATGACGCGGCTGAAAGTACCCTGGCCGAGCATCTTCACAGCACGCCACCTGCGCATCTTGCCGTCGCGGCGGTTGCGCGCCTCAAAGTACTCGTAGCGGTGGCTGGCCTGCGGGGTCGACGAGGACTGGCCGCCCGTGGCCGAGGTGGTGGATGACGATGATGATGACTCGCCCGCGCTAAGGGACGACTCGCTCGGGGGCGGCGTGGGCGGCTTCTCGACCGGTGTGAGTCCTCGGGCGGCCGAGAGGTGGGGCTCGCGGCGCAGATGCAGGGCGTCCTCGGCCGGCGGCTTGGCGCTGCCGCGCGACCCCGTTACCGTGAGCATCCGTTTGGGGAGCAGCATGGGATCCGGCGTGTAGTCGCTCACACTCCTATTGCGAGTGTGCACCTGATGTGTCCCTGCTGTGGCCGGTGCCTTGGTCTCAGAACGTGCGCCGCCGCCGGGCGCGCCCCCAGACCCTGCCGACCCATCAACCTCCACGGCGAGGCCGGCATAGGCCTTCCTCTTGGTGTTGTTAGCCAGGGCTGCGGCTATCGACTCGCCGTTGCTGGATATCAGTACAGAGTCTGCGCCTGGCGTTGGGACAGCGGTTTCCCGAGAGGGCGGCCTCCCAAACCTCCTCCAAGGTCCCGGCGAGTCGCCAACAAGCAACGGAGACGGTAGCGGGGTCAAATCTCCCATAGCAGCTATTATCGGGCTTGGGTAGGTCGAGCTTGCGGCCGAGGCGGTGCCGAAGCCCGGGCCGAGACTCGTCTTGAAGCTTGGCGTGCGCGACGGTGGCTGCAGCGACGAGGTCGAGGTTTTGTGCTGGAGGCCAAAGGTCGAGGTTCTGACTGGGGTCGTGGGCGAGAGGCTCGAGGTCGTGTTTCCGGCGCTATCCCGACGGCTCCGGGCCGTGGCTGCGGCCGAAGGGTCGATGTGGGGGCGGGTGGCGGAGCCGCTTCGGCGTTCGCCCGACAGCGGGCTCCGCTGATAGGACGGAGACTCGTCGCCCGTCGACGGCGAGAGGGCGTTTCGCGGCGGGCTCGGTGAGTCGGAGGGCGAAGGAGCGATGGTCCTGGAGCGGAACTCGAGGCCGCTAGTGGCACTGGTGGCGCTGGTGCCGAAGGTTTCGCCACGCCCCAGAGGCGATAGCGAGCTCAGGGGAGGAGAGGTCGAGTTGAAGTGGTCGAGGACTCGGCGGGTGGTATCTAGGGTCGGGAAAGCGGCGAGATTGATGTTTGCATTGGTCGCCGTAGCATGTTGGTTACTCAGCAGGGCGTCCTGCTGTGAGGCATGATGAAGCACGGATTGATGGGCGTGGGGGCGTGGCTGGCCATCGGGCCTGGGTACAAGGGTCGACGACGGCTCTGGTATGCTCGCTGTAGGGACGGACATCGGGGTCCCGTCCATCATGGTTATCCGTTAACGCTGCTGGATGTGCGGGGCCCGCGGGCGAGGACCTGAATCGTGGACGGATAGCTGCCCGTGTAAGTCTAGGTAGGAAGCCAAGGAGGTCTGCGCGCGGTTGGCGGCTAGAAACAGCAAGACATACGAGGCGAGTACAGCACGGCGCAACCCAAGGAGAAACCTGCCTGGGGCAAGGCGCAGGTGAGGGATAGATAGACACAGGAGGCTGTTGTATCGCAGCGAGTGAGTGGATGGACAGGGGTGGATGTGGGTGTATGTGTGTGAGGGCAGCCCCGTGGGTTTTTCTTTCAACAGGACGACGGAGGCATGACGAGGGATTGACAAATGGGCAGGGCGGACGGACACGGGCAGAGATCGGTATGTGGGCAAGTGGGATGGGGGAACAGATCGAGTTTGCGACAAGGGAGCCTTCGTCTGGTCTATTCTGCTTGCAGCTTCCTTGGCCCGCTCGCCTAGACCTTGCGCGGTGTAGGTATTTGTCTTGGGCCCCGTCTTGCGATGAGACTGCCCGCCAGCACGTCTCGCCTGCCTCCTCACTCGATGCGATGCAGGTACCGTATACCTAGCCCTGGGCCGGGCAGGTGCCACAGCGGTGTCGGCCATGTCTCGTCTGGAGAGGGCCTGCGTTGTGGCTCGTGGTGCAACCAACCATGCCTGCCTGTGGCCAAGTAGGGCGTCGTCGGGTGTGGGAGGAAGGGAGGATGCAGATAGACAAGAGAGGGACGGGCAGGGAGGGGCAATGCGCAGGTGCTGATTAGACTAGAGGGGAAATGCAGAAATGCACTCACGTCGCGGACGCAGCAGCACTGGCAGACAAGCAGTCAGTCAGCCGCTGAGACAATCACAGATACTGTCTCTCGGGGGTCCAATGGCCGGGGAAGGTGAGGGCAGAGGCGTGTTTGATCGTACACGGGGAGGGATTCGGGCTCGTCTTTCAATGCTCGAGACGGCACCCACCCACTTGTCAACTACACAGGGCAACAACGGACGGCCAGGCTGCCTATGCTGCCTCGCGCCTTGCAGGTGCAAAGGGCGCAGCGACTGGGGGCTGTGTGGCTTCCTGTTGGCTGGCCTCGATCGATTGCTCCAGCGGCGGCTCCAGGCGGGTTTGTAGGTTTTAGCGAGGTCTGGTGGTGTCAACGGGCGCTCAATCGTGCCTGCCTTCTCCCAGATCACGATCGGAGGAAAAAATTGAAAGGGGCAAAAAGAGAAGATTTTTGCCTGTCTGCGCCGAAGTAATACCCTCCCGCCAACCCGGCATTCAAAAGCGCGCCCGACGACAAGTCATGGCATGCAGGCCGGCGCGGTTAATCAAAACAGAGCCTATAATTAATCTCCTCCTTCGCCCATTCCATAATCGAACCCGTCCAGGCACGGTCACCTGAGCCCGACACAAGGGAAAAAAGGGCGGGCGCTCGCAGGGCAGCCGGGCGTGCAATTTGCTGACTGGTGGGGATCGCCAGCAAAATTGGATGGACTAGACCCAAGATTAACGTGACGATACATCGCTTCTTTCTTCCCATTCCTCCATGCCACCACCACCCTGAGCTCCCGCACTCGGGGAACCATGCAGCCAGCGTCGTATTCTCTCTGACGGTGGTGGGACTTTTTATTTTTAAATTTTTCCATTTATCTTGTCGCTAGCTGACGATGGCCGGTCCCAATGGGACAACGGTCACCAGACTTTGTTTCTGTGTAGGTTCAGGTTCAGGCCGTTATCCGTCTGTCCTCGCACGGGCACGCTTCCATCGAAGTAGACATTATCTCGGCGCGCGCCAGGCGACGGTAAGCAGCAGCGCTAGAAGCCAGGCACGCTCGACCGTTGACCGGCCCAAAGGACACCTGAAAAGCCTTATCACCCGCACCGCGGCCATTGGTCGCTGTGTAGACGCTGCATCATGGCATCGGCCCTAGACCAGCCGAGTCCGTGCCAGGCGACGTCAGGGGCGGACTAGCAGTAAACGGAATGGGACGGGGACCTAGCAACTTGCGGCCAACTCGTGATTCGATTCTGATGACGGACATGGCGAACCTTGAGTGCTTGTCGAGCTAGCCCTGCGACATGGATGACTCTTGATGACTCCCTTTCCTGCTGCAAAAAGCACCTGTCGGCTTCTCACGTTTCCGCACGATGGCCAGCCCGCTTAAGCGATTGGCAGGATCATGGGGGATGGGGTGGTCAGCCCCGCCCGGCTGGCCCCAGTCTCCACACGGCTGTCGATTGTCTTGGGAGGGTGCATGGTCTTGGTTGACAATACAGGTGTGCTTAGTCCATTGCCTCCAAAGCACAGATACTTCCTAATTATCGAATCATAACAGAGCAACGTACAGCCACAACGGAGGCTAGAACAGTACGTGATACTCGTCGACGAAAATCCAGACTCTCATCGCCGCATCCACGGCTCAACCATGGACTTTCTGGCACCCTACCCCTTTTTTTTTTTTTTTTTTCAGGGGAAGGCTTGATACCCGCCAAATGTCTAGAGCTGCCAAGACGTGTCACGCCCCCGTCGCCGTCGGCCCCACGACCCTGCCGACCTGCCACGGGATCTTGCCGACGCGGTGGTCCGACTCGCCCGCAAAGTCCAGCACGATGGACTCCCTGATCACGGGCGCCACCAGCCTGTCGAGCATCCCGGCGTCTCCGCCCAGGTAAGGGCCCAGCGCGTCCACGAGCCGCCACATCAGGTTGGCCCACGTGACCGTCCGCGTGTAGCCCCACGAGAAGTTGGACACGAACTCGGCGGTCGCGCGCCGAGCCTTCTCGTAGGGCGCAAACACCTCTACCGCCAGGCGCGTTTCGTCCGGGTCCGCCGCCGCCGCCGCCGCCACCCCGCCCTGGTGCTGTAGAAGCAGCCCGCGCAGCCGGTTCGTCAGCTCCACCATGCCCTGGATGCCCGTGTTGAGCCCAAAGGCCGCGTTGGGCATCATCTTGACGGCCGCGTCCGACGCCAGCACCAGCCGCCCGCGGTGCCAGTGCGGTGCCATGCCCTCCTCAAAATCCAGCATCGACGCCCGCGTCCGCGCTGCCCACACGTCGCCAAACGTCACCGCCCCGCCCGCCACCACCGGCCGGTCCGCCACCTCGGCCGCGAGAGTTTCGGCGTCCTCGATCGTGTAGACACCCCAGCCCTTATTGCCACTACTGGTGCTATTGCTGCTGTCGTCGGAGTCGTCGTTGCTATCGCCCCCTGCCTCCACTGCCGCCCCTCGCTTTTTCCCATCGGCAGCCTCGGCCGCCTGCTTTTGTGCGAGCCAATCCCGGCGGTTCTTGTACACGAAGAAGTACAAGTCGTCCGGCCCGGCCATGATGGTGACCGAGAGCCCCGTCTCGCGCTCCTCCCACACCGTCTCGGGCGGCACGTCCTTGGGCCGGGGGCAGTGTCCGACCAGGCCCATGTAGTCGGCCTTCATGACGCCATCGTCCCGCCCTCCCTTGCCCGCCGCCCTGTCGCGGCCCTTCCACCGCTTGTCCGGCTGCTGCCCCGGGAACGTGGCTGGGTCCGCCATGAGCCGCCGCACCACGCTGCGCACGCCGTCGCATCCGACGACGATGGCGCCGCGCACCGAGGAGCCGTCGGCGCAGCTGACGTTCACGCCCGTGGCGGTCGACTCGATGGCCACCACGGCCTTGTTGCCCAGCACCCGCTCCTGGCCCGGCAGTCGGCGGCGTAGAAGGTCGACGAGCTTCTGCCGGTCTACAAATGTGAAGGCGTACCCGTGACTGTGTTTCATGCATCGCATCAGTCCATTGAACTCGTTGGTTATAGAAATCGTGTGCCGAATCGAAATCAACCATGTCCTCGTAGCCAAGGATCCAGCACACAGTATTGGAAGCAAGAAAATGGATGAGGAAAAAGGAGTGAAGAAAAAAGAAGTGGAACCAACTTGTGCCCTATCCGCTCCATCATGTTGCTCTTGGCGACGAGGCTGCCGTCGCGGCGGATGTTGTACTTGTCGCGCAGGGGCATGTGCATGGCCTCGACGTCGGCCAGCAGGCCCAGCTGGTCCAGGACGCGGCTGCTGCTCGGCCAGAGGGCCAGCGCCGCGCCCTCGAGGACGCCGCCCGACGGTCGCCGCTCCAGCACCACCCAGTCCACCCCGGCGCGCTCCAGCATGTGGGCCATCAGCAGGCCCGCCGGCCCGCCGCCGACGATGACGACGCGGAACCGGCCCCCCGCCTCTTCCGCTTCGTCGTGCGACAGCGGCGGCGGCGGCGGCAGCGGCGGCGGCGCAGCGGCGGTTGCTAACGGCCCTTCTTGATCGGAAGTCATGGTCGAACAACGTCCCATCCTAGAATGCTATGTGCGCTTTGGGTTGGTGTTTTTTATTTGGTCCGAGAAAGGTCCCTCCCGCAGACGATCGAGAGATCTCGAGTTGCTCCTCGTCAGCATGAAGGCGCCCAGATGTGGGGCCGAGTGCACACAAGGCGACGAGGCCTTCTATTTATGCACCCGCCGGTTAGCCCGTTCCCACCGGCGGGCGGGGGAGCGTGTGAGAAATGTTCGGCAAGGTGAGCGGGCGGCGGGGTGAATGGGGGTCAAGTGAGTGAAGAGATAGAAGATATGCAAGGGAGGCAGCCAGACACGGGAAGCGGCAGGTGATAGCGTCCAGATGGTGAATATGGGCTGGACGCATACCGTATCGAGATTCCGCAACAGGGTTAACGTGCGGCCGTTAACAGCGTTGCCGGATGGGAACGTGACGACGTCTGTCCCCCCCCCCCCCTCCCGCTCCTCATGGGGCCTGGTTCGAGGCCGGGAAAATATGGGCTAATAATAAGGGCCACCAGCTGCGGGTGGCCCATTGCGTCGGTGGTTCGAGCCTAGTCGACCTGGCAGTATCCTCAAGGAAAGAGGGACAGGTAAGCAGTAGCGGTTTGTTGGTTTGTTTACCTTGCTATCACGCCCACCTCTATATGGTGGCAGGTCCCGCCCGAGTTATCTGGGCCACTAGGCAGGTCCGGCTGAGGTTGTTGGTCGAAAGGGCTCCCCCCGTTGTTGCTAGAAGGGGCTAGGCCTTTGCGTCCTGGTGGGGTCAGGGTACCATCAGACTGAATCCTTCCTTGGCTGGGCATGATCAATCCCGAGATGATCGGCTGCGGGATGAGGAGGTATCTGGGCAAATTTACCTGTATGTGGTGTGCTGGGCTGTTAACAGCGCCCGCGGAGGGCTCGTGATCAGTATCCTCATCTCACACCAGTCGGGAAAACCTACCTCCTTGACTAGAGAGGTTCATGTTGTGGAACTGTACACGACCGCTGCGCCCAACTGTTTTCAATTAGCCCACGCCTCGACTCGTGGAGCAATAAACTCCTGCATGTTTTGACCTGACAGCTGTCTCCGCATCCTCGGACATGAGCCGGGTTGCTTGTCTGGGTGCGTCCAGTCTGTGGCAGCCCTCCTGCTGTGCGAAGCGAGGTCGGAAGGTTTGGCAACCAAGTGCTTCCATTCAAAAGCAGGACTGGGCAAAATACCTCCCGTCGTCCAGTGTGGCTATCCTGCCTCTCCCCAAAGCCTCCTCTGCCCTATTTGATCAACGACACATTCGCATGGGATTTCGGGAAATGGTAGTCAAAATTGTACAAGTATTATGTTAGATATCTGGATGTGCTTGGGTCGTATCTGTTGTGTCGATTCTGCCTTGTAGCGAACGTCAGCGTCGAGGGTCTGCTGCTCTTTGCGCCAGGCAGCGCTGTGCGACTGTCTCACCGATGGAAGCTGGAGCCGAGAAGAGCTACATGCTTTCCGCACAGCCAATGGCTCGCGAGAAATGCCATTGAACAATCACGAGGAGCCTTGATGCATCCAGTCCCCATCCAGTCTTCCTACCCAACCACAAGTGGGTTGCGGCATCTCTTGCCCCAAGTTGCCGGAATTAGGTAGGTTTGTGGCCCGATAGAGGTCCTCCATGCTAGGTCCTTTCTGATCGCATGGCCCGATCAATCCAAGGAGGTGCCGGTGTTAGCCTGACCAGGTAATTCCTGTAGTTGCACAACGTGGATGTGCAGGCAGGGCCATGATCGGAACTCGTCTAGCCGGTCTAGCAAGTCTCCTCTTTCGCTATCTCCCAGATCTTCCGGTTCGCCCAGCCGGGCAACATCGAGAACGCGCTGGTATCCATCGGCGATGAAGCACGGGAAAGCGTCCCAAGGATGTATCAAAAGACGGATCCAAGGAGGCCGGAGAGGGCCTCGTAGTAGATGAGCTCTGTTCGCTCGCTCCGTTCTCGAATTCTGCTATTTCGGCACCAGCGTACGTCCGTCCTTCGGGTGGACGTGTGAGCGCGCTCTCGCTGATCCCATGCGGGAACAATGCGAGCTGCTCCAGTTAGCGCATTTCGCAACGCCTCGACGCATCCAATGCTGTGGTCCGCGTCGCCCTGATAATCCGAAGTCGGATTCGTGCGTATGATTGGATCCGCGGTGTGGTTGCCGTGCGGGTGTGTGCGGTGCGCCAAACAGGCCTTTTCGCAGACCATATTATTCTAGCAAGCCAAGGTTTTGCTGGCGTGGGTTCAGGGAGTCTCGTAACACTCCAGCTTCACTGTTGGCTCCGGGGCGCTCTGCCGCTGCTCCAGGCCATCGTGGACAACACCAGGATGGCCATATCGCGCATCTACGACCGGGTCTGGTTGCGGTGACTGCTGTGGTGTGTTGCTCAGCAGCCTCTGCAACCGACGGTCGCGCATGCTCGCGGCATCGGCCGGGCGCTGCGCAAAAGTGTACAGACGTTCGAGATTGGCCATCATGCGCTCGCAGCAACTCTCGTTGCCATAGCCGGCGACACCCTCGACCAGGGCGACGGCGGCGAGGAATTCCGTTTCCGACCGGTCGAGCTCGCCTCTGTGCGCGTAAAGGTGTCCAAGAACGCCGTGTTGCGATGCGATGGCCCACTTGCCGAGCGCGTCATATTCGGAAAAGGGTGAGCCAAGCATGAGGGCCTCGGCGCGCTCGAACTCCTCCTTCTCGCACAACAGGAGTGACGACGTGATACGCATGCGGTGGCGAAGCCCAAGGGCGGGCAGCGTGCCGTAGACAGCGTGGGGAGTAAGCGCTAGTGTCTGGCGCAGGCTGGCTTCCTGTGCTTCAAGGCTGCGGCGGCGCGACAACGACGAGACCGTGTCGTAGTGGTCGCGGTTCGTCTCCATGACCCCGAAGTTGATGGGTGAGCCACAGCTGGTGCGTTCGAACTCGGCAACAATCAGCATGAAGGCGCGATCCAGGACCTCCTCGTCAGTGCCCATGTCAACGTCGCGGAACTGCTGCCAGATGGCGAGCAGGATGTGGTGGGATCCAAGCAGGCGCTGTGTCTGGGCACCGATGAAGTCGACCAGCATGGCCCACAGCTGGCGGTTGCCGAGTAGGGCCAGCTTCCGCGACAACCGCAGCATCCGACTGACTAGCAGCGGAGCCTCCTCGCGCACAATCTCGCGGATCGCCTCAAAGGCTGGGTTCAGGGTATCGAACACGTTGACCTGCTCGGCCGTGGCCATTCCCGAGGCCACCACTTCGAGGCGAGTCCAGGCATCCAGGATGAGGGCCTCGCCTCGAGCGCCCTTGCGGCTCTGTACACGCCCGGACCCGTCCCAGAACCAGGTGCCAGCAGCAAAGGACCCGCCCATGTATGCGCGCACGCCAAACAGGAGACGCTCAGTGTCACGGGTTGGGCCAGGGAGGCCGAGCGTGGGGGTGGGATGCGGCTCTGGCGAAGGTGTCCGAACCTGGACCGCGGTGCTGGTCGTGGGCGTCCTGCCCCGGCGGCCCTGGGCCTGGGGGCTAGTTGGCGAGGCGGAGGGGGAGCAGTCGTCGCCGGAGCGGCTGCAGTGCGGTGGTGGCAACTGGGCCGTGTCGAGGCTGGCATCGTTGAAACGGTCAAGAACGGTCTTGTTGCGCTGGAGGTACCGCCTCATGCGGCGCGGGTCTACCTTGGTGCCGCGCACGACAAACTCGGTGTCCTTGTTTTCGGTTTCGCGCTCCTTTTTGGCCTGCAACATCACCAGGACCTCCTGAGCCTTGAACTTTTTGTCCAGGCCCCAGTTCTTTATACGTGTTTTGTACATCCTTGGTCTACACGCCAAGGTTAGTATGCGCCGGTCAGAGCGTCAGGCGCTGGGACAGGACAGGGGAAGCTATGCGGGGTTAGCTGGCAGGCACGCACGTTGCGTAGAACTGGTGATCTCGCTCCATGATCTCGATGGTCTCCTTCAGAGTGCGATTCTGGTCCTTGTACAGGCGGGTGATGATGGGCCGCATGCTGTTCCACTGGTCCTGCGGCGGTGGCGGATGGACCGCGGGGGCCGGGAAGTCGGCGGCGCATGCTTCGGACGGCCCGGCCTGGGCGACGGCCGAGGACACAGAGCTCGAGCTGGGAGACAGCATTGGCCGCTGGGCGAGAGCCGGATCACTCAGCTTCCTTGGGTGAGTTTGGTCGGTGTGCGCAGTCAGACGGGCTGTCGATCAGTCACGGTGGCTGCTGCAGCACTCGGGACGCATCTTGGGGGCCTATTTTCTCTGACCGTAGCCGAGGACCGGGGGCAGTCAGGCAATTGAGAGGGCCGCTCGCTCGCTGCTCGGAGGAAGGGAGGGTGGCCTGGTGCTGCGCTGGGGAGCTGGCGATTATATCCAAGCAGGCGAAGGTGTGGAGCTGGCAGCAGCCGGAGATAGGACGCAGAGTGGCGGCCAGGATGGTGATAGGACAGCGAGCAAGCGGGCCTGTGTAGCGGCAGAGGAGCCTTGGCGCGACGGAGCTGCCCTTCGACGGGGACGAGAAGACCAGATGAGGAGGGGAGAGCGAAGTGAGGTTGCTCAGAGCCTCAATGCGCCCGCTGTGCAGGCCTGTTGTCTTCCCCACCAGCTGAAGCATGGGCGTCCCCTGTCGACGCGCCCCTGTCTTAGGGCCGTCCCCCCTAATTCTTGGGAATCTTGGGGCACGAACCGGCACGAACCGGCACGAACCACGCAGCGCTAGCCACACCGGACGCCGTCTCGCTTCCAGCGCTGGCTTCTGGCGTGGCCCGTCAGCACGGGGCAGGCGCTCGGTGGCTTGCATGTGATGGGAAACACAGTCTGGCCTGGAAGCTGGCCTGGAAGCTGGCCTGGAAGCTGTCAACGGACAGACCCGACTGGTGCTGTGGTTGGTTGAGGCAGGACGGTTGGTTTGTCTGATTTGTCAACAGCAACAGCCCACCTAGAACGGAGCACAGAAAGCACTCACCACCCGCCAAAAACCACGAGCACCCACCAGATACCGGCCCAGGCGGCCGGTCCAGAGGCCCAGCCGCTCGGTCGGGTTGCGGTGGATGCAGCGGTTGCGTCGAATTTCTCATTCCTCTGTCCTTGTCGCCATTGCGCGGAACAATGGACAAAAATAGCTAGCGCTCTCCGAACACCCCTCGGCGGTTGCTCCATGCCTCTAAGACGACAGCTATCCGTCGGACATCCCGACTCGCCGACTCGCCAAATCATTCCGATCCAGCCCACCCTCGCCGTATTCATCGTATTTATCAGCTGGTTTGGGGGATCACAACCTACCAGGCCTCGCAGCCCGTCGGCCTCCAATTCTACCGTTTGTCATTTGCTCCAGTGAAATGAGAGCAGTTCCAGAGCAGGCCAAGCCCCGTTTCAGCAGTGGGCCAGGCTTCTGGAATTCAAGCGGGCTGGGGCTCCAAACTGGGTTTCGCCAAGGCATAGGTGGAGTCCGCGCTTCAAGTGGACCTGCCTGGGCAGTTATGTAGTCAGCCCATCCGTTAGACCGGGCTGCCATCTGCTATCCATGTGTCTTGACAGCCCTGGAGGCCCACTCCTGCTTAATGGCTGGTCCACCCCACGTCGCGTGGGCAGAGCCCCAGACGCGTTTCATTAACAGTGTGGATTATTTCGCTATTTGCGACCGCCATAGCACAACCACGGGCCTCACTACACAACCTGCACCGTCACAAGGCACGAAGCTACGTAGAGGTTCAACACAGCCAACAATTCAGCCACCAGCAAACACTCGCCTGTAACCATGTTCAGACAAGACAACCGCCCTGACCCCAACAGGCGAACCATCCTCGACTTCCGCAAGAAGCAGTTTGCCGAACCGGTCTACAAGCATGCCGACTACCCCTACCGCATGAACTTTTACTCTACCCCTCCCACCGCAGACATTACACTCGAGCAATTCGAGCAATGGGCAATAGACAGGCTTCGGAGTGCGTAACCCCGCCCGTCTGAGCACGCCTGCTGCCCATGGCGCCGTTGCTGTGCTCGCTAACATGGACATGCCTCTCACCCATTCTAGTCCTTGCTGAGCTGGAAGCATGCTCGTTCCGGAACAAGTCGCCGCCAGAGACGGCTCTGCACATGAAGCCGCTCCTAGACAAGTACCTGCCGCTCGACTCCAACAGCTCCGCCTCGTCGCAGCTCCAGGCCCAGCGCCAAAAGGACCACTACGGTCACTTCATCCTGCGTCTCGCTTTCTGCTCCACCGAAGATCTGCGCCGCCGCTTCTCTCGCATCGAGACAATGCTATTCCGCCTCCGCCTCACGGCCGATGACTCCCGCGAGCGCGCCGCCTTCGTCGCTTCCATCGGCGGCCTGGCTTGGGACCCCTTGACAGACGACGAGCGTAGGGAGCTTTCCACAGAGCTCGCGGCTACCGCCGGGTGGAAGACGCAGCCCGAGGATGAAACTTGGTGCAAAGTCGACTGGGACAGGGTTCCAGACCTGGTCGAGGGAAGGCGGGTTTTCATCAGGGGTGGGAAGGCCTTTGTGCCAGGCAAGGAGCAGATGAGCATGGTGGTGTCCGAGTTCACGGCTCGGCTGGATAAAACGTTGGAGGTATGCGGGCTTGGCGTGCTGTGGACTTTGTTGGTGGAGATGAGCTACGTCGTTGGCTAACCCAGGCTTGTCTTGCGTCACAGTTGACTGCACGGGCTCTTCCTAGGCTGGACGAGGACGACCGTCTGACGCCGATTCTGAACCACCTCTCCAAGAACTTCATCACGCCAGACGCCTCGTACCGCAGCGGGGACGGCGACTCGACCGCCCCAGGCTCGGAGCTGACAGCCCGCAACGTTGACAAGCTAGCGACGGAGCACTTCCCTCTGTGCATGCAGCACCTGCACCGGTCGCTGCGGCGGGACGCGCACCTCAAACACTTTGGGCGACTGCAGTACACGCTCTTTCTCAAGGGCATAGGGCTCTCGCTTGAGGAGTGCCTCCTCTTCTGGCGCTCGTCCTTCCACAAGATCACGGACGACACCTTCAACAAGGAGTACAGGTACAACGTCAGGCACATCTACGGTGACGTCGGCGGCGACGCCAACCGCAGGGGCACGGGCTATCCGCCCTTTGGCTGTCAGAAGATCCTCACGGAGCACCCGCCCGGCCCCGGCGAGGCGCACGGGTGTCCGTACCGTCACTTCAACCTCGAGAACCTGACGGCCCTGCTGCAACAAGTCGGCATTAACGACCGGGCGGTACTCACCGGCGTCAGGGAGGACAAGGAGAAGCAAAAGTTTCACCTGGCCTGCAATAGGTATGTGATTAAAATAGTGTCGGCGGGCTACTCGTTGGCCGCAAATCTAACCTAACGGTCTTTAGGGTGTTTGAGCACATACACAAGAACGAGATTAAACGCGCCAAGGACGAGAACATCATGACAGGCGCGCAGCTCGAGACCATTGTGCACCCGAACGAGTACTTTAAGCGCAGCTATCTGCTGAAGCACCTGGATGGCAAGAAGGAGAAGGATGACGTCAAGATGGAAGGCTGAGCTTGAGTTGCTTCGTTTGTAATTATCTACGTTCTAACATGATATGATTGACTGGTGCACTAATCATAAAATGTTTACTTGATTGTTCGCTTTTGAGCAGGGCTGTCGAGTCACGACAACTTTGCCTTTGAAATCATAACGAATTCACAAGGTTGAGATTTAGGCAGGGCGTTTGTTAGCCTCAGACAGGTTGTGTATCGTGGATGGATACGCACTTCCGCACCACACATGTCTGTTCATCCACCAGATTGGATACACCTGGCTGCCTGCCTGGCTGCCTGCCTGCTTACCTGCCTGCCCCTGGTACGAAATCGGGCCCTCGCTGCGCCATGTCGACTGCTCGGAAGCAGAAGTCACTGTCGGGAAGGCTGCCTGGAGAACAAGGATGGGGATGTGTAGGTCTGGCGGTCAATGAATGACGCTAGATAAAAACGTCCAGCACCGTCGACACTTCATATTATCCTTCACCTCCGCGATCCCTGTCCTTACTCACTGCTCTTGCACGACTGTGCTATTGCTGGCTGCCGCGCCCAGCTCCCGTTGGCCGGCAGTACGCCGTCGGGTTGGCTGTCAATGACCGGTGAGGGCGGCCATGCAGGCGCTTCTTGGAGCCGCGCCACAATTGGGCAGCTCTTCAATTCCAGGGCTGTCTCTTTCCCCCAACCTCCTGCCCTGCACTTTTGCCCGGGCGGACAGCCTCGCAAGACTGCCTCGCGTTTTCCACCGCCGTCCACCTCTTTGCGATGAAGCGCATGCGCGGTGAGTCAGCACCAAGCGTCTGCATCACACAACCATGCCGAACTATCTAACAAGTCCTCCTCGTCTCTGTATGCCCGACAGCCTTCCTCCAATACAGAGCCCCACGCACAGCAACCTCAAAAGGCTCCCCCGAGGCGTGTCGGAGTCGCACCCGGGATGGGCCGGGGCGCCGGTGCCGTCGGCTTTTCCACTCTTGGCCTTTTGGGGGAGCAGGTCTTGGCGCTGCAACATCCCCGCAGGCCTCTGCTATCATGGTGATAAGTTTTCAAAGTTCCACAATCCCACATATCCGCCCCCATCAAGAATCCCTCTCCCCCCTCGTTTTGAGCTCCATGCCAAGACCTTGCTACCTTCCTCAGCGAGCAATGGCGTGGTGGGTAATGCGGTCTGGGCATTCGAGTCCCGCGTCTCCCGTCGTGCCGCGTGCGGGGACAGTTGATAAGAGCAGAGCTCGGAGAGTTACAATGACGCATTCGTCTCTCGCGATGTCGTTATCCTGCCCCGCTGCGACGGAGTCTGGTTGCATGGACGGACGGCCGCTGTCGGGGGCCCTTCGGGAACTGGTCCGTCGGTGTGACGGCGTTGCATCGCTATTGCAGTCGAGGAAACATGACCTGTCTAGGTATATACCTGTGGAAATTATAAGAGCATGCCCTCCTCTTCACCCGTCGACCATGACAGAAGTAGCAGCACCGTTGATTGCATCGCTACGTGATCCCCAGCACCCTCCCTCAGTCAAAAATGGTCCGCACAATCCCCACGTGGGCCTGCGCCGGCCTGCTGCTCGGCGCCTCGGGCGTCTCTGCGCAATCGGGCGGCGCCCAGTCCGGCCTCAAGTTCGGCGAGAACTGGCTGACGACGGTCAGGGACAGCGAGCTCGTGGCCAAGAACTTCCCGGCCGTCGAGGGCGTCGAGCTCCTGTCGCCCTACTTCCAGGACCCCGAGTCGGTGAATCCGGCCTTCGTCAACGGCACCGACGGGCCCACCGACGACTTCCAGCTCGGTAGGTTTATGCAAAGGACCGGGCCCCCCGGGGTTTTGCTCCCAAGATTTTGCTCCAATGGCCCCCCCGTGACACCCCCCACAGCCGCTGACCTGTCGTGCTCGCCGTTACAGACTTCTTCATCCGGAAGCTCGCGCAGAGGAATGCCTGGCTGACCTACCAGGCCGCCGACTTCCAGTCCGAGGAGGGCCGGGCGATCCCCTACGTGTACCTATCGTCCCCAGGGAGCAGCAGCACGCGGAACGACACGGCGGCGGCGGGCAGCAGCAAGCTGCGCGTGTACATCCAGGGCGGGATCCACGGCAACGAGCCGGCGAGCGACCAGTCGGTGCTGGCGCTGCTGGGCAAGATGGACGCCAACCAGACGTGGGCGGCGTCGATCCTGGACCGCATGGACATCAAGATCCTGCCGCGCTACAACGTCGACGGCGTGGCCTACTTCCAGCGGCAGCTGTCCAGCAACCTCGACCCGAACCGCGACCACATCAAGCTGATGAAGGACCAGACGCGCCGCATCAAGCAGGTCATTAGCGACTTTAGCCCGCACATTGCGATTGACATACGTGAGCAGCCCAGGCCTGTTCCTTTTGTAGCGCCAAACCCCCGCGCGTGTATCCCTACATACATACCTTACCTAGGTAACTAATATGACCCGACCCGACCCGCCCCGCCCGCCGACAGACGAGTACTCGGCGCCGACCATCTACGGCGGCCACTACCAACAGGGCTCCGACGCCCTCATCTCGGGCGGCATCAACCTCAACATCCACGGGGCCATCCGCTCCCTCGTGCTCGACACCTTCATCCCGGCCATGGGCGCGCGGCTCGAGGCCCACGGCCTGCGGTGGGAGCACTACGTCACGGGCGCGTCCAACAGCACGCCCGGGTCCGAGATCGCCTTCACGCAGGCCGTCACGGAGCCGCGCACCAACCGCAACGCCGCGGGGCTCACCCAGGCCGTCTCGTTCCTGCTCGAGACGCGCGGCATCCGCCTGGCCGACCAGCACTTCCAGCGCCGCGTCGCCACGCACCTGCTCAAGGTCGAGGCCGTCCTCGAGCTCGCGCGCGACCGCGCCGGGGAGGTCTACGGCGAGATCGAGCGGGCGCGGGCGGATTTCATCGCGTCCGACGACCCCATCGTCGTCACGGACTCGTACACGCCCACCGGCCTCCGCAACTTCACAATGGTGGACCGCCGCTCCGGCGCCGTCGTGCAGGCGCCCGTGCGGTGGGTCGCCACCACGCCGTCCGTCCCGGAGCTGACCCGCCCCCGCCCCGAGGCCTACCTGATCCCGCGCACCTGGGCCGCCGTGGCCGAGCGGCTGCGGGTGCTGGGGCTGCGGGTCGAGACGTTGGACGAGGAGTTCAGGGGCCAGGTCGGCACGCTGACGGTGGCCAACTCGACGCTGGAGCGGGAGCTGTACGAGGGCCACGTGCTCAACACGGTCTCGACGCGCGAGGGCAGGCGCGAGGTCGTCCTGCCGCCCGGCAGCTTCAGGGTCAGCACGAGGCAGAAGAATGCGGCGCTGGCGTTCGTGGCGCTCGAGCCAGAGAACATTGACAGCTACGTCACTTTCAACATCATCCCTGTCTCGGCGGGCGAGGAGTATCCCATTTTTAGGATCCCGAGGTCATGATTTTCTTCATTTTTTCTAAATAGGGCTCCTGACAATAGTGGTGGTGGTGGTGGTGGTGATATTGGTAATCATTGGTGGTAATGATGGCGCGCCCATGTTAGCCGAGTGGTACGCAAAACGTCAGCAGGGCGGCCTTGTCTCCTGCCCTCCCTCCCCCTGCGTCGTAGGGCTGTCATCGGGGCAGCCTTGCTTTCGGCCGTGGCGCGTAGATGGCCGCCCAGAAAACCGATAGATGAAAAATGCAACAATAAAAAATATTAATACGCAAAGGAGGGTGTCACCGGGATGTGAAGCACACAAAGGCTGTCTACCAGCCACTCTCGAGCCGCAGAAGCTCCCACACTCGTTCGGCTTGACAAAAATGGTATCGGGAAAGGAGGATGAGGATTACCCGAGCCGTCAAGCCCTCCCCTCATGCATGGGCAGGTAGCCTTCCTGGCTGTAGGTACGTAGGCAGATCACAGGAAAGGTGGCGTGACAGGCCCCTCAATGGAGGTGGCAGATGATATGCTGTTGCTTTTTCCCCGACAGCTTCTCCCTCCACCACGTCTTCAACATACGACCACACCGGTCTCGTCCAGTGACCCAGCGCGGGCAGCACAAGCCGGCACGTTCGACAAGCGTGATCTGAGCCTCCCTGCCCCCCGCCGACTATCACCTCCGACTACGTAAGAGTCGAACGGGGCTTTTGAGCAAAGGGGGGAGGGCTGCCGCGCCGATCGGGAAAGTCAGGAGGTCGGCTGGCATGTATGTGTGGGGAGGAGGATAGGCTGGACAAAAAAAAAAAAAGAGGGTGGGCGCCACGGCGCCTCGCGGGATGGGATGGGGGGAGAGTGGGTTGCGCCATTTTCCCCTTTGTGGTTTGCCCGCTGCCGCATGGCTCGGCGCTTGACCCTTACATATACCGAACTGCAGACGTACGTTATTTGAGGGGAAAGGAGGGAGGAGAAAATAGACGGAGGAGGCCATTCATTGGCAGCACGTAGGGGGAGGCTGGGGGGGATTCGTCAAGTTTTGCCGGTCCGCGAGGTTACATACAGCCAGCGGAGATGCATGCACTAAACCAAGGCCGTTTTTGTGGTGGTGGTGGTGGTGGCAGGCTGAAGGGGTGGCTCCAAGGGCGGGTATGCCGAATTGCAGAACAGACAACAGGTCAAAAATGAAGAATGGCAATGTTGGCCGAGTGCGACCCATGGCCAGCCGGACAGGCTCCCTCCTCATGTGGCAGATGTCTCGCAAGAAGGAACTGGGATATGGCAAGATGGGCAAGTCAAAACAAGGAAAGCAACGGACAATCGAGATTGGATAGTCACCCATTCGTTTACTTGCCGATCACCTGTCCAAAAGACAATCAATCTACTGCCAACCGCGTCGAGACGAAACAAGGGTCATACATATCTCTGTATGCAAGCAGAGGTCTTGGTCTGCCCGCCACTAAGCGAGCCATTCCCGGTTGATGATCCCGTTGCATATCTTGGGCTGGTGGCTGGTGGCATTTGGGGCCCCTTCTCAAAACGCTCACTACCCGCGTGCCGAGGGTCGCGAGGTACCTCCACAACCCGCGCTTTATGATAAGCATTATACCCTCCCCTCCCCCTCCCGCCGAGCAGCGTGACATCTCGGAGCGAGGGATCATGCGGGAAGAGATGGGCGGATGGTAGCATGGGCGAGCTGGGCCAGGTAAGGAGGGACCTTGGTTCGCGCGCCGAGGCCAGGGTACCTTGTGGTTCAACTGCCGCCGTCAGCTTGTACCTTGCCAATACTAGAGATACACAATAGATAGAGAGGGACACAAAAGACCCCACGAAAAGAGGGGAGGGGAGCTGCTGCGCAACATGCACGCGTCGAGAGACGGTCGCGTGTGTCTTGTGGCGAATCGGATACAGAGTTCTTGCTTTCTTCAGGGGGGCTCTTTTGATGTTCTGCCCCTTGTGTGGTCTGCATTCGCCTGCACAGAAAAGGCGCAGCAGCGAAGGCGACGGGAGCCTGCTGCTGCTGGGCAGAATAGGAAAGCAAAAGCAGCTGTCGAGTAGCAGCAGGGGGGCGGCTGGCGGGGGGAGCTCTGGGATTGGCGGGGTAGTTAGTTTGGTCTCCTCTGGGTGGGGGCGCGAGTTGGCGGGGTAGTTCATTGGTCGCGCCAGAGAGCAGGCCTCACTCAAGTGGCGGGCAGGCAAAAAGTCTCACCGCAGCAGGGGCGCCGTCTCGTGTCAATGCGGCCAGCAGCTGTGGTTGGCCCCTCGGGCGTGAGAAGTGTGGCAACCACCGGTGGGAATCCGATGCCGGTGTGCCTGAGGACGAACCGCCAGGAACACCCCTGGGCTGCCTCTTGATCCTCGCTCGCTCGAGACGAGTCTTTTACCCTCGCCCGCTCGAATCGAGTGTGTTGATATCCGCCACCCTGCCCTCTCCCTTCAGCCCGAGCCCGCCTGGCGCCGAGCGGTGAGGTGGGAGCTGACCCGGGCTGCTGATCGGCACCGCGGGAGCGATTCGGGCAAGATCCCCAGCCCAACATTGACCGTCGTGGAGCACAAGCACTGCAAGTCCGCTGTCGGCCAGTTGATCTGGACCATGATGGTTGGCTGAAACCCCATGCCCCAAGACCCGGTGGGCCAGCCGGCCAGTCGTTGTGTGTTTTCCCTACTTTTTGAAGTGGGAAGCCGCCTACTTACTGTGTACTAGGTACTGTGTACTAGCAATGCTCTCTGCTGCCCCGCATCATGCACAACCATGCACCACCACTGCACTCGCTCTTCCGTCCGAAGACACAAATCCAAAGGTCCGGGGGATAATGTGGAGTGTTGAGTGGCTGGGCAGAACAGCACAAGGTGCGGCCGCTTGAGAGACACACAGACAGGCCCCCTGGCTGGTGGTCCAAGAAACGCGGGGAGGGAAAGGGCTCGCAGGATACGGGCAGCAGAGGGCAACGGGCTACTGCCGCCCCCACGCAGGGGCGGTCTTGCAATGCGGCCATCCAGCAGCACCCAAAAGACTCCAGTCGTTGCCAGCCAGCCAGAGAGCGATCCCACTCCCGCCGTGACACGCACGCCCGCGCGGCCTGAATAGGTAGCCCTCGTAGTGGCCGCCCTGCTGGCCGCTGCCATGCTGGCCTGCCGCACCGGTCAAGTACCTGCGTTTGTGCGTGTGCGCATCCATTTTTTTTCTTTCTGCTTCTTCTCGCTGTTGTCGGCCCCATTCGTCTACCACGCTTTTCCCGCCTTTTCTCTTCGATGGGGCCGCCAGCCAAGTGGACAGAGACGACTGGATGTGGATGGAGCTGTCTTTTTTTTTTTTCTCTTCACATCAGATCGAGCAAGCCAGTCCCGGCGGACGCCCCATTGGCAGGGTGGTGTGTCTTTGTGGATGGTGCTATAGCTGTGCGGCCACACACCTGCCACTCCCACCCACCACCACCACAGGAGAGATTCCCAGCATCCTATCGCCTGTGCCGATGCCTGCCTATATCACGCCGGATGGGACTGTGCTGGGTCGGGCAGCCCTCGCTGGGAGGGCGAGAGCCGGGCATGCGACTGGCTGGAGGCAGGGCTCGCACCCGCCTTTCCGGCCCCCGCCCTGTCCTCTCACATAACGAGCGGCGGCGGGCGCAAAGCACGGCGCGAGCGATGAGGCTTCTCTGGCACACTTGGCGTGATACCGGCAGGGACGTGCACGTGCCCTCCACTCTCGGCCTAGCTCTAGTCCTGTGCCCCAGACGTGTATGTTTACTAGCATGTACTAATGGCTCAACCTGGCGTAGGCTGGCAGCTGGCACTCGTAAACGACTGGAGGCCGTCGGTCCCAACAAGGAGGAGCTTAGCCCGGCATTGATGGATGGAGTAGGGCCCAAAAAGGGGTCCCGTAAGCCTGCATGCGAGTCACCGCATCCCGACCTTCTCTGCTGTCCTCGTGCGGTGCTGACGACCGAGTCGCCTTCCTAGCCCCATAGAGGTAGTGAGGTCTCGGGTGAGCAGAGCCATCGGCACGAGCGATTGATGGACGAAATGAGACGTGGTCTTGGGAGGAAAAAAAACCCGGCATCGAGGGCAGATGGTCCTCTCGGCTACTCCTGCTGCGGCCAGTTTGCTTTCGTAATGCGTGTGAAATCCATGCTGACCGCGGGGCTCGGCGCGGGGACCATGGTGAGGGGTTTGGGGCTTGCTGACGTCGTTGAGACGGCCCATCCGTTTGTAGCTGAGTCCCCCCTGGTTGCTCAGCCTCGGACAAGCTGTCTTGCTCAGCAGAGCTGGGCGAATCCAGGTTTGCTGCAGCAGTCATCCATCCGCGCACCACAGCGGAAGGCATGGCAAGCATGGGTCCTCCCTCCACTGCGCACGCCCTGGCCCCCGTCCGTTGTCGTGCGGATAGGGTTGCTGGTCTGTTTTTTTTTTTTTCTCTCCTCTTTGGCTCAACTGCTCGACTCACACAAGGGAGAACATGCCGGCAGACAAACCGCCTCCGTGTTCCCAGAGTTCGGGCTGTTGGAGCCACCAGGCCAGGCGGTGAGGGTTGCCCAGGGAGAGCTTGATTTACCCTTCCTCCACGCTGTGCTGCCCCCCTCGTCCTCATTCCTGGTTGTGGCTCAGTTTTCCGCCTGCCGGAACCCCATGCGAAAAATGGAGAGGTGTGGAGGGCGGCCAAGGAACAGGAGCTCGATTGATAGGGGGGGGGGGGGGGGGGGGGG